AAAACTTGACTCCAAAACTATCAGGACTGACAGTGACTTCAGTGATGGACACACATAATTACCTCCATTGGACGAAGCGGTCACATTGAGTTTATCATATCCACCATGGAAGGCTACGAGAGTGGAGTAGTATGTCTCCCCGTGTTGCAGGGTCACATAGCCAGAGCAGGCCTTGTGCTCCCGACGAGACACTTTGACAGTGTTTACCACATTACTGAGACTGGGCTGGGTACCAACCGCCCACAGGTAGGAGAAGATCCCCGACTCGGGGTCATACCAGTTGTACCAGTTAGCACAAATCTATTGTGTGTAACAGAGAAAGCGGTGAAATTGCAACCTTCCACTGTGAAATTAGAAAATATTATTTATAGTTCATGATTAGCCACCAACAACCAATGTATGGGGATGGTTAAATTGTTGTGGTGGCATCTCTGTGTCACATCGGTAACCCGGGATCACATCCCACACAGGCCTATATAGGGTTGGATTGATTCAGTCTCAGACTAATTCACGCATTATTACATCATTTCAGGGTTCGTCCACTTTATTTTGTCTCCACCATCTATCCCTAAAATTTTAAGCTACCTTTAGTTGATATCGACTTCCAATGAGTCCTTGGTTTTACAAGAAGAAACCCAGAGAAAGTTTAAAAATACAGGTTTTGACAATTCTCAGATTTTACGTCCTTTTTGCTCATTTGTCAGTCTTGCTACAGGTCAGTCTCATTACCTTGTTTCTGTCTTTGGTAAATACAAGGTCTTGTCCAGCGTAAGGTCCATCGAACAAGTCTCCAGCAATAGGTGGAGAGTCATCGACTAGAATTGGTTCGTCAGCGTGGTCTATGGTTCGCAGGTCAACTGTAAATGTTAAAAGAGGAAAAGAGTTTACAGTTAATACTTTTTACATTCAGGCTGTTCAAAGTGCAATATGAAATATACCTCTGAAATAACAAAAGGTGGAAACCCTTCAGCTTCAGCAAAGGTTTCGTTACGAGTCCTGTGTTGTATTTGAGTCAATCGTAAGTCCTTCCAAAACTCCAGCAAGGACTAGTCTGAGTCACAAGAGTGAACAATCACAAACGAATGTTTTTGTCAAAGGTCATTTAAATAACTTGTGAACTGGCTTAAGACTGAATGACTTGTGATGGACTTACAGGGACTTACGGGGACTTGTGATGGACTCGAATGCAATACACTGCTGTTTGATGGCAATTTTGTTTGTTGATCATTCATACGACGACCATGAACCAGGCGGGAGCAGGAATATACACAAATATCATTATACTGACCAATACATGAATGACAAGGATGCGAGCACTGAGCACTGGTGTTAGGAAACAAACCTAATTGTACCCCTCTAACATAAGTGTTGCTAATGATAGGCACAAATTTCATTCCACCATTTGTCATAAAGAAAACTGTTGCTTTGGAAGATGTGATCATGCTTGTCTAAGATTAATGCCCTAACAATTCGTTGCATAAGCTTATTATGATGCGACATATGACGTAAGGTTTAATATGACAGGCTTCATGAAACCAGTTGCTGCGTATCACGCAAGTCAAGTTAAAGCCCTACTAGAGGTTGGCTTAATTAATGTTACCGTTGTTGACTGCTCTGACTTTAACCCAGCACGGTATGCCACTTGGTATCTTGAAGTCCATGAAAAGCTGTTCAGCCGTCACGTGAGCCTCCCAGTCCCTCAGTGATTTGTCCCTGGGAGTCCTGCCTGCTGCTAGGTGATACTCAAACAGATGGGACTCAGGATCGCTGCTCGACATCAAACAAAGTTTAAAAGGCAATAACTCATGTGAAAAAGTCAGCATATATACAGCACTGCAGTACATCCCATAGCAATTACCTGTCAGCCTGTACGTGAAAAATTAAGCCCTCAAAGTAGAATCACACCCTCATGCACGCTATTACTTTCCACTGATAAGATTGTCATATTGAATTAAAGTGCGAAGATTTTGGTTTTCATACAGAATCCCCCAAAATGTAAGCTCGAAATATCACAACATGGCATAAATTTGTTTCCACAATATTACTGACTCCTACATGCATGGTTTTGAAGCAATAATCTTCGGAATGGAAAACCTCCTCAGGCCTGTCATCTGACCCAACCTTTTGATTTGGCTGGTTGGATACTATGCACAAACAACTGAATCCAGATTAATGTAAATTCTTAAATCCATGACAACATAACTCACGTTGCGTTTACTCGCAAGCCAATTCTACCAATAGACGAGTTGTAAGTGATGTCGTGAATGCTGTAAATTATGGGTGGAGTGTTGTCAATAACAAGAGGGTTGCTGTGGCACACAGTGAGTGCCATAGGACCACCAAACTCCACCTTGTTGAAAGCCCGCACAGTGATGAAATAGGCACCATCTGATACACAAATCATAAGAAATTCGGGTTTTCAATCAAAATTCCACTAAAATCGTGTGAGAGTTTTTTAGTCTTCTTTTAGTCATGTCTTTGCAAAGGCTTTCTGGGCTACTTTCGTATTTCAGGTGTAACAAGGGTAACAAGGAAATCAAAGAATTGTTTTTCTCTTTTGTTATGCAAAACAATCTCAAACATCAAGCCAAACCTCATTATCAAGTATTTTAAAAGATCGACAAATTCTTCGATTGGCTAAAAACTGCAATATACAGTTTGGGTCACGAAGTCCGTGATAGATGAATCTTTACATACATTCATTATTCAAGGTGGTGAAGCCGAAGTAAACATTCTGAAATGTTGTGCACACTAAAACATTACTGGAATGCCAACCCATCCTGCCAATCGTGCTTCACATTTAGCAACGGTATTATGAAGGTATCATTTAAATTATTAAAGTAGTAAAAAAAAAAAAACCCGGCAAAACTTTCGTTATAGAAAAGAAAGAGACCTACCTGGAAGATTAACATTTACAATGAGTCCCTGATGGGTCCATTCCGACTCGTCGAACAGGTGAGCGTGCGGGTCAATATGTATACTGACGTCATCATTGCAGATGTCGTAACCAATGGACCAGGTGTAGCCATGGATACCGGTCTCATTGTCATGAATATCTTCCCAGTTAGCTGAAAACCGAAATGGAAATGCCCCAGACAGCACAGATATATGAAAAGTCTTGAATTCTTACAAATGGGTCATTAGGGAGACATTTTGTGGTAACTCTTTCAATCTTAGGGAGACATCGGTCATTAAGGAGACATTTCAATGTCTCCTTAATGCTGCAACTAGCAGAAGGAGGCCGAATGTTACCGTCCAAATTTTGAGATATGATAGATTAGGGCCTAAATTGAAAACATACAAACTTGGTTTGCGCACTTTCCTATGGGAATGTCTCCCAAGTGAACAATTTTCGGTAAACAGTATTTTCCCATGATCCTAAAATTGTTGCAGGAGTCATTATAAAAAGCAGAGCACAGGTGCACCACGGATGTACCTTAATTACTAGCAAGATCCCGTTTACCTTACCTGCCATGAAGGTATTGCTCCGTGTGTACAGCCTGTCCACTAGTTCCTCGTGGCCGTTGAATACTGTCATAGACCCAGGACCATCAATGATATAGCTGGGGGTAAATTTGTGGGACAGGAAAAGGCATGGAAACAGCTAGAAATTGCAAACAAATTGATTGAATACCTGAATGCCGATTTTTGTTGAAGGTAATGAAAGTGCTCAAGACCGCGTCGACTAAGCATTACACACTGTTAAACATTCCCAAATTTCTGTGACATTCATCAATTTTGTGCCTTTTGCATTTTCAGATTACAGCTTATCAGCGAGCAGACTGTCTATTCCATACAAATACAGGGTTACTAATCTTAGGCTACTTGAGGACTGGAGTTCTTTGTTAAAATTCTGTTTTCCTCTGAACGCTATCAAGTCAACTGAATTATCTCAACAGGGACAGCCGTTGCACTATGAAGATCTTGATCCCGTAGAAATGTGCATGTTTCCAGCATGTAGTGAAGGACAAGTTGCAAGTGGAAGGGCCCATAGAAACGTTCTTTGTTTTGCTAACTCTTGGCAATCTGGTCACCTCACCAACTGTTACCAGCAAAGGTAGCCTACTGTTAGAAATTGATAAATTAATTGGGTTCTAACACATAATCCTCTTTATTAAGCTTTTGGTGTGCAGTAAGGGGAATAATTAAAACTCCTTGAAAATCCCCCACAAAGATTTGTCAAACCAACCTAGGTAAACATCGATAACACAATCCTTAGCGGTGAATTTGGTTGCAAAGTCCTGTTAACATGTGATGAGCATTTACAGGATAAGATGATAATGTAGTTTTATTTGTCTGTTAGTCTTGTCCAAGAGCTCAAGCAAAAACACAGGTATCTTCCTCTTTTACTTATGAAACTAGCAAAGTAATTGAGACTTTTCGCAGGCAATGATTCCTACCGATGGTTTTTCAGCGGTGTGTCTTCAATGCATCGTCTCTCCCACTCCTCTGGGGTGAACTCCACACATGGTTCATGCACGACTTCATCCCGGATCCCGTTCATGATCAACCCTGGTGCAGGAGGTGTGAAGTCCGCGATGACGCCGACGGATGAAATGATGTTCTCGTAGCCAACGTAGTTGAGGAGCTCTATGTTGAAGTAGTAGAGGTTGTTGTGGACCAGTTGGAGCGATTCGTGACTGAACTCGACGGCGTGGCCGACGCCGAGGCGCTCAAAGTGAGAGAACAGTCCAGACTGATGAAGTAAAAAAATGAAAGACAAAATTAACTACAAATTATCCATTATAAAATGTCTGTCATTTCACATTGTTCATAGGCGCGATTTGTGCTGTTTCACTATTTGAAAATTGGCTTTTTCTAATAGATCCATGGAATGAAAACAAGGAACAATGACAAACACATTCATCGGGTTAAGAAAAACCTGACTCAAAAGGCAAAATTGAAACGCCACACTGTGACTCAGGAAAAGTATTCGAATTCTGCGGGTTCCTCTTCCATGGAAACGCTCTATAAATTATTACATATGGAAGACTTTTCATATGCAATTTTTGGAGCCAAACAAACAACAGTTACTGGCTTTGCCCCCCACCAACAGTCAGTAATAATTTAATACCGTTGTGACATTAGATTTAAAACAACCACTAGTTCACGCAAAATATTGTGGCCATGTGGAAAAGATGTGTGTTGGAAAACAGGAATATACGGGCTCGAGTCCCATCCCTGGCAACCGAAATAATTCCCTGAAGCTCTTTCACAGTTAAGGCGATTATGAGTGAATGGTTGATCCCAGAGGTTAAAAAACAATAGCAATTGAAAACTTTGCTTTGTACCTCATGAACTTCGACCCCATGGCCCTCAATCTCCTCCAACAATTCACAAGTGAAGTCTTCATAGTTATAGTTGATACTCAGGCATTTGGTCTCCGGGAGAGCTAAGCAGTCCCGTGCACAGAAGTTGGGATTGCGGTGGATGATGGTTGATGTCGGCTTGGAAATGAGGCGGCCTTTCTTAGCGGTAGTGAAGTAGTGGAAGTCATTCACTGTAACAGATAAGGCGTTATGTATAGTAAAGACTTAATTAATGTGCAGATAAACAAGTTTAAACACGTTTAATACAAATTATTACAAGGAAAACATCTTCATTTTCTATTAATATCTATCAGCCTTCCTGCTATATGTACAGCAAAATCTCTTTCAAACTCTTTCATTTACCATTAGTCCCTTCAATTCTATTTCAAGACGTTTTTATATTTTTTGGATCATAAAATATACATAAATTGTTAACCGCAAATGCACACATCTGATTCTTTAGTATTTTTGAGACATCCGGCAACGTTTTATCAAAATTCTGGCTTTAAGTGTGACTGGGAGGAGGGATAGCCATGAGAACGTTTACCAAATTAATCTGAGATCCCCATCCCCTTTTCCGTACTCATAATTATCATCGGTCAGCTGTGATACCCTTTTGGAGGAAAGTATTTCAGTATTTGTTCTGGGTAGCAAAACCAAGAGCAGGGATAGGATATCAGTTTTGTTATTGTGAAGTACAGGCATAAGCGTAATTGCTAATTATGGGCGTGATGAACTAGGGCTCAAGGGTAGAATTGTCTCTTATACATCCTACTCACCTGAATAACCGAGCTGCTGCCTCTCTGTAATATTGATGGTGTGCCATGGTACGATTTGATCACCCCAGATCTCAGGCCCAAACCCAACGCCTTCCTTTTGCAGCAAAATGACCGAGTCGTCGTACACCACGGCCGAGGCCCGCAATACGTGAGGGTGGCTGGTAGAGGTGAAGTCTGGCGTGATACGGCCCGTTGGAAGGGTGATGTCGAAGGTCGGGAGGCTGCAGGTTGCCGTTGAGGAGCCACCTCCGTTGTTCATGGCATAAACAGTGAAGTGGAGAGGATGTCCTCCAAGAAGAGTCTATCACAAGCATTATTTAGTAGTTACAAGTTTTTGCAAAATTTTTTTGGGGAAGTGCAAGGAAAGTCCAAAAAAAATGAACTGTGCAGGCACTCAAAGCACAATAACATCTGTCTGTTAACATTTTAACAGACACATCTCATGAACCCTTTTATTCTTGATTTCAAATCTGTATTCCTCTAAAACAAAAAAAAATGCGATCCATACGGGGGATCCAGAACACTGCAAAGAGGATCAGGGTAGGGTACAGCCCTTTATGGTTATGACGACGTAAGGTTGACATGGGTGTGACGGGGGGGAGAGGGGGCAATCCCCGCCCGTGAAAAGGGGCATATTACAAAAAGTTGAAAAAAATGAAGGAAATAGAAATAAGAGAGGAAATGGAATCCAAGGCACGGATTTGCTCTAAAAATATCGCCCCTCCACCTTTGAGTGGTCCGATTTATCATAAATTATCAGTTCTCATACATCGCCAGGTTTGTTTCCAATTGCGGGTCAAAAAATGGTTGCCTCCTCTTTGGAAAAAAATCGTGGCGACGCCTATTGGAGTTGATAGACACAAGCATACAAGCATCACAAATGCAGGAACGGGTCCATTTTAAATCCAGTGTAATTTTTGTATTTCAGATGCAGATAGGCCTACAAAGTTGTCAGAAACATCTTGAAGTAACGTTTGTCAAGGGGGTCAAAATGACATTTTCCATCAAAAATCTAAGAATGGAAAGGAGATGGAGCACCAACGTTTTACTCTGGAAAAAAAAGGTTGACTGATCTAAAGACATATTTTTGTGCTTTTTTCTTAGCAACTGAAAACCTTCTGAAAACACGAAACAGTGCCCCCCGAATGTCTCAAACCCAGTTATCAAATTCGCTTTTCAACAAAATCGCAAAATTGTGAATATTTCAAGACAAAGTAACTCCATACTTGCGTAATGATCGCCGATGGTCCTCCAAACTCTGTTTTGGAGACCACGTCACTGGCTCCAGGGGCTGTCCCAACCTGGTAGAAGAACGTGACCAAGCTCTTGTCGTCGAATGCTACTATCTCAAGCTGAAAGGCCGGCTCCGTGTAGTCCAGTCCAGGAACTTGTTCAACACCGCAGGCATTATTGCCGACTACAGTATTCCTTGTCAACCCACCCTTATAAGGGAAACAGAAACGAAGAAGGGATCAAACTGTGACCCCAAAATACTGATGGAAGCATCCGGTATATTTGTTTCCCAGTATTTGCTGGGAACTCTTTAAAGGTAAGAGTAAAAAGTCACTCTCAAAGTAAATTCCTTACAACTCCCCACAAAAACCACGTTTAAAGAGTGAAATTCATTCAAAAAGAGGAGCCAAACGAAGGACGAGTAAACATTTCCCTTTTCTTGAAGTGGTTTTTCACCCGTCTTGCAGGGAGGGAGGTCACGGATGCACTCCATCAAGGAACTGTTCAACTGTGTTATTGACCTGCGATCATCACTCAACAGGTGTTAAAGAAAATCAGGGGCTTCTTAAATCTTAATCTTAAACACCCTATACCTCAAGCATCACAATTAATCAAGTGCAAAATGAAACAACAGAAAATGTTCTCTTCTGTAAGATCTGGCACAAGACAGGTTGAACAGTTTACCGCTGGTGTGGAGTACTCTTCAATTTCTGGAGGCGATTTATCTGGCTGCTTGGTGTGAATATCAAATATGTTTCCGTGTATTGCTGGAGCTTGATAACGCCACAGCTCCGCTGAAAACAAGGTTTTTCTCCCAAAGAAGGGGATTTTCAGTGTCACCTTAGCTCGCAGACGGATTATCAGGGGAATCATTTCTATGTCCATTTTTAACCTGGCAGGGAAAAGGGAAAGAGGCATATTTTCAGTATTTTCAATAAAGCAGCTCTAATTCTTAAGATTATGCTGATGCATAGTTTGAATATGTTAACGTCACGTCTGGTTTTCTAAACAGAAAATCCAATGAAAATCCATCTATTGCAAATCCAATGAGACTGTAGCGTGAAAAAAATGCGAATTGCTTGGATTGTCATAAGTGACAATAGTGAAACAGAAAAGTTTCCAATACAATTGCGCAAGTAAAATCTTTGCCTGTTTATTATGCCTTATAGGATGCCACAGCGACAGGAAGTACCCCACAGATATTTAGCGTAACCCCACTGCAATTCACAAAACACATTGAGATTTTTTTTTAATTGAAAAGAAAGGAATTTCCAAGTGACACGTATTTTTACAAAAGGAAATAATTTACACAAAGGGCATTTGGTTAAGCTTAAAAACAGGAAAACAATTCTGTTTAAAATTTGGAGCGACTTGGAATCTTTCAGTACGCGAGAACAAAGGAAATACCCCAGACGATACAAATGGAAGTGCTTTAGAAGATAAACAGAGAACTGTGGCTGATGGTTAACCTGACAGTGAGGTTGTGAAAACAAGAGGATCTCATATGGCAGATTATTTCCTAAGTCTTGAAACACTTGAACACGTTTAGTGAAATTCTTGGGTTGGGATTACATGCCACAACATTAAGCGGAACATTATAGGGCTTCGTGTTTTAGTGCTTACGTAAAAAGAGGGCTCTGATGCAGAAAAAGAATTTCAGAATGTCCGGAATGTTTTTGGAAATGAAGTCCTCACAAAGATACGTTTACTTGGGTAAAGGTTCTTCTTAGATCTACAGAAACGTTTCATTGTTCTGGCTTGAACAAGCCTGGTGATCGACCCCACTCACTTACCCAACATCCAGCGGGAACTTGGAGAACAGGATCTCAGCTACCGTTGGGAACTTAGTGTGGAGCACGTCAGCAATCAGTTCCAACTCCCCATAAAGGACAAACCCGATGGAGACACCACCTTTTACATATGCGCCAACCATTGGTGTTATGCCACCCTAGAGATAATCAACCGTTCAAATAATTATGCATTCATAAAGAGCTGTTACAAAGCACCCTTGCAGAGAAAAAAATTCAACCAAGGTACTCCTCTCTGCCAATTGCCTGTGAAGATAGAGGTTCAAAACCTAATTCTGAAAAAAGGCTAGAATTGGTCGTTAAATAGTGCAGGAAACAAAATGACCAGATCAAAAAAGCATTTACCAGTCGTGATCATTGATTTTCAAGATGAATTCTAGTAAGGAGGTAGAATTTTCACTTTTAATTCACTTGTGTATACTTTTATTTGACAACTAATACAGACTTGTGTTGTATTTTATTAAATTTAAAGTACTTGTCTTTTAAAGCGAAGCTTCTGTCAACAGGTCGTATAAACAGTGTGAGTTACTGCCTAAAACAGCTGCACCGAGCTGGATACTCCAGAGTATGCCAGTGTGGATTTTAAGAAAGATACGGGGTTCGAAAATCAGTGACAAAACTGATGTGTTCGCATTTAACATATTCATAACAAAACCAATAATTCGTTATATCCATTAATACACCGAATGTTTTCAAAATATAACTGCAAGTAAAATTCGGCCAGTACCGTTGCTTTCATGGATACAAGGGCGACAGATACTGGAATCTCCATATCAAAGAAACCTCCAGCCTCAAGGCCTGAAACAAACGAAGGAAAAATACACACTAGGGTCAACTGGTTTCACGTCAGAGTTTGATTTTGAAATAATACCAACAAACTTTGCTCAAAGAAATGCAACAAACTTGCAACGGGAGCAGTGGTGCTCAGCACGTTTGTGTAGTGTTGCCACTTCAGAGCACATAAAAACATAGTTGGAAAACTTAACTAAAAATACTACCATCTTCTAGAACTGATGCAATGATGACTTGATACTGGCCAGCTGGTCCTTATTAAGCCTGCAGAGGGTTATGTTCTTCAAATGTGGGCTTGATTCCCACCCAAGCAGTCTTGAATAAAAAGGCATTCCCAAAGGTCTCAGAAAATACTGGGCATACATTTTTCAGTTTGTTTATTAAATTCTTCAGACCAACATCTTAATGTATTGCATGTATTATGATTGAATCTTTGAATCCCCAACTTTATGTCGGTTAACCTGAACGCAGTGTTTACTTCGCCATTTTTAAAGGGTTTTTGTGTCTTTTTCAGTTTTTATGTCCGAGCAGATTTTCTAATTCTGTTGCAAAAATCTCAGAGACACCTCCTAAGTTAAAGCAATTTTATTGAAAGAAAAGATTTTTATGATATTTTTAAGCAACTGAACAATTAAACTTTAGGTTCACATTTTGAACTGGAATTAATCACAAAGGGCAGTGTTTCCCTGAGGGGGAGAGAAACATCACAGCAGCAACACATTCAATTGTACAGAAAAAGCAAGAAGCATTGTATGAAAAAACGCACTTTCCATAAATTAACCAAAGGTGGTGTCAGGCAGGTTTCATATAGCTTTAACAGAAATAGAAATTCAGTTGCATAAAAAGAAAAGTCCATCACACTGAACTTTTCATAAAAAGAATAAAAGCTGCAACTTACTGAATTCTAGGTATATGAATCCACCGACTGGTACTCCCCAGCGAAGAGGGGGAAAAAACTTAGCATGTGTCCTTGGGAAGGGAATTGTCCCGCTTAAGACGATATCAAACTGCGCAAAATCGTCCCCTGCCTTGCCGTTAATGATGACGTCAATAAACTCTTCAATCTGCAAGTCAAAACAGAATTTCTGAATTCTCCCGACAAAATTAGACAGGGCAATCTTAAGACCTGTTACCAGAAACTCTAGCTAACGGTGGGTCTGGTTGTGCAACTAATTGGCCTAAAACCCAGCTTTTCTTCGTCAGTTTTATCGATATGCAACTGGTCATATCCAGAAAAGGGACTGAGATCCATAGTCCAGCTACAATGTAACTGTGACAAGCACAGAGGCATTCGTAATTTTAGGAAAAGTTTAATTCATGTCTTAGTCAAACATGGTGCAGAAATTTTCCAGACCTCGCCAAAAATAAGAGGCAACGCGCTTGTACCCATACTTGTTTGCCAGGGTCACAGCATTTCCTTTTTGATGCCAAATTTGACTCACAAAGGTCCTGAACAGAGCACGCAGATCTTTCATCAGCTGAACCACAGTGAAAGGGTCGATGTTCTGAAGATCCAGCATTGCTTCCAACTCCCCAATGGTCATGTTGGCGATACGCTGACCGAGAGCATCAAGACCCTTCTCTGTTGGAGGTCAGGGGTCCAAAATGGCCAGTGATTCAATAAATAAGTCGTTTGCAATTCTCCTCTCCTCCTCTATTTGACAAACGTTTTTCAATGTATGCACTGAAAAGTGCATTGTTAAAGATTTCTAATTGTCCGTGCTTTTCGTTTAAGCACTGTTCCGGTGATAATAACCTGGTATGTCCTTTGCGAGGTGCCAATTCATCAGATTGAACACAGAGTCTTGATTTCAGAACATTTTAGAGAAAGGCCCTTGTTTGCTGTTTGTACATGAAGCTACGAAAAGTCACTAATGAAAGGAAAACTCATGACAGCACGTTTTGCAAAGGTCTCGCGATTTTGACACTGAAATAAATGGGATATTGAGGTTTCTTCTTGTAATGACACCACAGGCACTTTCAGTCGTAAATAGGCACATCTAAACTGACATGAAAATTCTCCTCATTACCCTTAAAATAGTCGAACAAATGAAATACAAGGCAAACAGATATGTAAAGGTGCATTTTGAAGTATTTCAAAGATTAAATTTGCAGAACTGGTAACCCGTCCAAATGTGCTATTAATTTTCAACGTTTTTGCTCACACCAACAGACCAAGTGTGTGACACACTGACATGAAAAAACAGCCTAAAGAACAGCACTGTCATGAGTAAGAGGTATACCCGCCCCAAAATAAGGAGTTTGAAATCCTGCTGGCTATTTTGACAATATTTTTTTTATTTTCCACTCACGTGTTAATCCTCCACCGATGATGATATTCCCCTGCCACGTGCCAGAGTCAGCACCAGCTGCGAGGCTGATGCCAAACAAACTCTCTCCCCCTGGGTAGAAATAAAAAAAAACGCTGTGAATGTCGAGGGTAAGGCTTGGCCTTGAATCTTGACTTTTTTCTAGCGCCATGACTGTTGGTAGAACCACTGAAAAACCTGAGTTTTTCACAGGAGATAATTGTTTAAGTGAGTCAGGTTGGAGCAGTGGTACTTTTCTTACCATTTACCTGGATTTACATACGCGTAGTACCTCGGATTGTAAATTGAGTTTTTTTCAGTCCCAAACCCAATTTCTCGACTTTTCTCGAACATTTGTCCCAGTTTTTCTAACTTACAACCAAAATTGTACAAAGCTCTTCTTGTACCAAAAGTCCGAAGTAGAAATAAGTCAAATAATTTACGGACTTTTATCATGGTAAATACGAAATTAAACCTGAACGTTTGACAAATACCAGAATAAGTTACGTTTATGACTGCAAGAATGTGCCTCAAAAGCCCTAAGAAAACTGAATTATCACTCGCTTTAATATAAACCACTCATCTTTTTGAGCATTACCTGAAGTCACTGAGAGAGAGACGTCTCTTCTTCTTCTTGTAGCTGGAGTTTCGTCGTCCTCACCAAAGGTGAGAAGAGCCATAGAGCGACGGCTTGCCATGCCCGAATCAGCAACCCCTGTGTAACAGAGAACATTAAACGTAATAGCAATTTCGCATGTTTTAACACATGTGCAGCTTGCAAAGCAACAGCAAAGCGCTAGTGGAGCTGATACTTCTACAAGGGTTCGAATGCAACCCAGGCCGTCATTGCGAAAGAGCCGGAGGGTGCATAGTAGCAGTGACAAATTTGAGTTGTGCACATTGCAAATAGGCAAAATGTCCTGGGTACAAAAACCCGTTCAATAGCTGCGAAAGTCGATTCAAAATCCATTGAAACAAACAAACAATGTGCGTGCTGTCCAACTCACTTGGCTTAACAGCCTTTTCCGGCTGAAGCTTTGTCATAATGTTGTCCTCCGCTGAATACGAGCTGGCGTCTCCCTGAAGAATTGCCCTAAAATAGTCCCTGGCTTTGTCTACAGGATTAGCTGTGAGGTCATCCATGCTGTCCGTTCCCTCAGCAGAGTCGCTGGTGCTATGGAGAAGGAAAAATCAGCTAAAGTCAGGTGCGACGGCCAGTTTCAGAACTAGGTGCATTGATATGAAAAGCATTTTGAAGAATTTCTTCAGCCCCCATAAAAGTACCGGAAAACCCTTAAAACTATCTTTGCTTTTCCATATTTAGAGCAATTTTATATATCACACTTCACCGACATTTTCGAAATTTCTTGTCAAAGAGGAACTTTGAAGATTTGATCTTTAGTTTTTAGAAAAAGCGAGTGCTTGAAAATACCTCAGCTAAGATTAGACCTAGACCCATGTTTTCACCAAAGATTTCAAAAAGTTTCTGGCTCTGTCTAATCCAAAACTTTCCAAAAGGAAAGTTCTCAAAGCCTGAAAGGTACATGTAACGATGATACACATCAAAAATATTCTTGGTAGATTCCATACACATTTTCTATGGCATATAATCAGAAAGTACATCCAAGGCCTTTCAAGACTGATGATTTTAAAATTAGAATTGCCAAGTCCACACTCACAGGTCGTCGACACTTCTTCTCCTCCTCCTTGTGCTGCTGCCTCCACCTTGATCACCACAACCTGAGAACATAGCATCTCGGAGAATGACGATTGGATCATTACATGCATCCAGCCAACAGAGGCTGATGTCCAAATCCACATCATAGACAGAGCTGTGAGGGCGCTCTATGTTGTACCTTCAATGGACGAAGACATACATGTATAGGAAAATATGGTAAGACGAAAATGGAAAGATCTTGGCAAGCTTCGGTGTCTAGGTCGTCGTTTGGTCACCAAAATTACAAATGCCGAACAGATAATCAAATCACGCGCTATGTGACGAAGGTTTAATTTAATCGGCTTATGAAATGATTAAGATTTCCTTTGGACTGGGCTCAACTACAAGCCAATGTTCTGTCGGTCACAGCAACTTTCCACCAATCTACATGTATTTTACACGCCTGTCCATAGTTTTAAAATAACTGTGAAAGACCTTACCTGATTTTCACAACTCCAAGCTTTTTCTCAAATGAATGAGCTAGTGAGATAACAAGACATAGATCAAGAATAAAACATTCGCACTAGATGAGAAAAGCATTAGTTAACATTTAACTTTTCACTTGAAGTGATATTCAAAACGATATGTTATTCTAGGTTTTTCAAATATATTTAAATTTCAGGCTATTACCATATCAAAGAAAAAGGATTGGGGTTCCTTGCATTCCAATACACATCAAACCTAATAACATCAAGTTTTATTTACATGTGTGATTTCATCAGTGGTCTTATTGGATCGGTTCTCGTCCTGTTGCCGAAGGAAAGCACGCATGCTAACAACGCCTGATGTCATTATTGAAGTACTAAAACATCGCCCTTAGGGTACATACTTGCTAAGTGAAAAGGACTGAAAAATTCCGCATTGATTTCACAACATATGTAGTTCGATTGAGTTCCATGAACAAGATCTGGCCGTTCGAGTCGAGACTTATACTGAGACTGCTTTCAATCGAGATGTGCGTCACTCTCAAGTGTTATGTTCTGAATCCTGAGGCACAATTCCTTATTGGGATATGTATTCATCAAGACAAATACAAACGCTGCAATTTTTCATAACCAGATGAGACAAGTACAAACGCTGCAATTTTTCATAACCAGATGAGATATAAGCACTTCAATGATTTTGTATATTTAAGAAACAAATCATTCCAAGCTACGTGATTATTCCAAAAGGAAAAAAAAAGTCATCCAGCAAAGACATCCCACTTACTCTGAAGTGGTTGAATGCCGAGCGCCTCCACGTGACTCCACTTCTCAAACCCAAAAGAGAAAGTCTGAGCACAGGGGTCTAGCTTTGCCCAGAGGGAAAATGACCTCTGGACAATGCCCAGGTCAAAGTTCAAGCAACAGCCGATCCCAAGACATGATTGATCCAAAGTGCAGTACGATGCAACGGTAGAAGGTGGAGAAACGGAGCTGCAGTCTCCTACAATAACATACGGGTTTTTAATTGTTTTATATTCGTAATGAAGCATAAGGTGAAGGTGAAACTCGAGTTCGTGTTGATTACAGACTGTCGTGCGCCACGCATTTCTGATGGGCAAAGACCTAGGCCTAGCTACAGACAACAGATCTGGGTGCAGCCTCAGAATTACTAACCACTTGTATAAGAGAATTTAAACCGATCGATAATTAGCCAGGTCCAACACCAACCCGTAACAAGTTTGACCAAAATTAAATCAAAGCGCTAGTAAATCGACTAGTCAAGTAAAACTTTCAAGTGATGGTCATAACACAAAATATTTTTTAATTAAAAACTTGACACATGCATTTACGGTTGACGTGATACGAACTTGACTAAAACAATAGCTCAGAGAAGCTGTTTATTGGGAGGCCTATAATCACCGTAGTACAGGTACCTACACAAATTAAATTCAAATCCAAATGCTTTCCAACTGGATTTAAAATGTAACCGGCAACTTAATGAGCTTCTCAAAACTGCATAAGTAAATACAATTTGGATATAATATCTGCAACTTGCCAGCATTTGCTGGTGTGATCTGCTCCGGTGGGCCACTGCATTGCTGTGGAAAAAGCACATCAGCACTGACACCAAGACGGTTCACCACTAGACCACTGGCAAAATCTCCAACATCACCTGGGCACATAGGGAATAATTTAAATGTTAAAAAGCTTTCAACAACTGCTTTCAATGTTTTCTGGTTCAACTAAATTTACGGTATTTCTAAGTCAGTTACGTTTTTTCATGACCAAGATCTCAAAATGTACCCAAATCCCGAGCCCACTCCAACGTTCCGTTTGGATTGCAGAATGGTATAGGTGCTGTGAAGTCCTGGAGGATGACAATGTCTGGAGCACAGACTCCAGCGATGCAGAGTTGGATGGAGAAGGACAGGAGGAAGTTACGGTTGTCAGTCGTCTTGTCGATGGTGAAGGAGAGGCAGACAGCATCACTCAGTCTTTCCCTTGTAGCCTTGCCCCAGGGGTAACTGGAGAAAATTATATGTTAAGTGCTAAAACATCAGTAATTTATCATTTGCAAAATATTTCTAAATTTTCTGCATTCAGGGTTTCAAAGCTAACACTGATCCTTGTAATAAAGTATGAAACAAACTGTACTCTCGATTGTCTCTTGAAAGAAAATATGTCTCGATTGTCTCTTGAAGGCAAATATGTCACAAATCATAGACTCCATTAAAAATAACTCCACGGTGGTAAAAGGCAGGGATGGTTTCAAAAGTTAACTGGCACCAAAACAAAAACACCGTGATATTTTGTCCATTCAGATGAAAATTAATCAAATGCACTTTGCACCATATGCATAAAACTGTTGCAAATGAATTGTCTCACATACAGTCCCATGTAGGTGGTAAAAAACACCGTTTGTTATTTTTATACGGAATAAAACTCTTGATTATACTTTTCAGCCTGCATCGAAGCATTCACGCTCTACCTGAGAAGTGTGACATTGTAACTCCAGTTTTCAAACCCCACACTCAGTTTGAAATCACAGGGGTCAACAGTCAGCCACGCCCTTAAAGTTCGACTAGTGACACCGAGGTCTGCTACCAGACAACATTCCACCCCTAGGCAGGCATCTGAATAGTGGCATACACCCCCCGACTGAAGAGTAGGCAGAGAGGGGAGGTGTGGACATGCTGGAGGGAAAAACCAAAATTAATCACACTTATTGAGGCAAACCTATACCAGTACATCATAAATGGCAATTTTATTTCCACATGAGCATCTTATAGAAAAGTAGCCCAGAGAAAGTAGAAAAATGGGGACACGATCACACATTTGGATTTCTGGAGGAATTATTCATCAGTGTGAAGAAGAGAAATGGTGCAAACAGGGATCCTATATGTTCCTATCCTTACCTCCAGACTGTCTTGGCTGGAAAACAGGAGGGCACGGTGAGGCTGAGACTAGACGAGACGGTAAGCCAAGAGCCTGAGCCACAGCCTCAAATCCAGTATCCAAGCTTCCCAGCTGAGAAACCGAAGTTACTCCTTGGAGTATATAAAACATTATTAACAAGAAAGTAATGAAAAGATAATAACATAAAACCTGCCTTCGCTTATATTGTCTTGCTGTGCACCCTCAGTCGCTTGCCCATGGAACTTAAGGCACAGTGTGAATCAGGTTTTGATAATTCTGAAAATGTTTGCCATGTTAATTTTTGGGTAGTGCCCTGAAAATGCACTATGCCTCCAGCCTGTGAGGGATTGTACTTTCTTTGATGTTTTGAATGTTTACAGCACAGGATTATGTTTCAAATGAGGCAATATGAAACAATCTTCTAACCAACCAACCTAATCCAGCAGAACCCAGACCAAGCAACAAACCGGAAGATGTGCACGGTTTATTCAATGTGGATTCCAACTTTTTCTCTCTGCAAAACGATTTATTTCATGATAAAGAATTAATAGGCTTTGGAAATGATAATTATACCTGGCAAAGTATTCCAGGAAATGGTCCCATTAGTGTGGCACATGGGAAGAGGGGATACTGTGTCATCCAAGATCCGGATTTCTCCAGTGCAATTTCCATCGATGCATGCATCCAAAGACAAGCTGACTGATATTTCTCCGTTTGCTAGCCCCAGAGTGTATCTGTATTGTCAGTTCCAGTAATAGGCCAAAAGACTTTTCTGTTAACAAAGTTTACTTGAACAAGTTTTCATGTTATATGATCAGACACCGGATGTGATGATGAAAATTACAGAGTACTTATCAGTTTTCTTGCTGGTTTGTAAACGATTTTAGAAAAACTCCATTCTAAAGCATTGGTTCACTAATGATAATTGATTATGAATAAAAATCAGTTAAAATCACAACCAGTAGACTATTTTCATTAGGAGGAGAGTGTTGCCACAATATTGCCAACTAAACAAGTCATCCACAAAATTTCTGGAAAATAGGAGATAAGACACGTTATGGGGTTTGCGCTCAGGGAAGGGTCGGATATCGTTTGAAAGTATGGGGTAATGTTTGAGGTGAAACTGTTCATTAAGACTTGCTTTGCCATTAGTAACAATTATGGTTTTCGGGAAAGGAAAATTTTGACATTAAAAATGGCAAAGAGAATGTTGTCACTCACACCTACGCAAACCTCTTTCTATAAAACTTGAATTTTTTAAAATTCTGAATGCAATTGGATACTTTGTTCCAACTAAATCAGAGAAACGACAAATTAAGATGATTTACCTAAGTTTCACGAAGTTTCCAATCACAATCTGTTGGCTTATGTCAAAGTCTAGCTGTGAGAGGGATTTGCTGTGCTGCCAATTGCTAAACTCTAGAGTCAGCTGGCCTAGGCAAGGGTCTATCACCATAGAGGCACTGAATGCATGACTCAGTGGTCCAAGGCTCACATCCAGGCAGCACCGTACACCAAAGCAAGTGTTGAGGATGCCACAGTGGGCTATAGAGTCTAAGGTACTGGGCAGCTGCATACCGGGACAAGCTGGAATTATAGAAAGTTATGCTGCAACTTAATTGTGGTGTGTACGGTGTACGTCCTACTGGCGCTTTATGCTGAAACAAGCAGCTTTTGAGGATAACCATAACTCAGGTACCCACATACTACATTTAGAAACTTAACGGTTGAACAGCGGTGAACTGCAACTTGTTATTGATTGATGTGAAAGAATCCAGAACTGATTTGATTACCTGATCCGACTGCCACCACTGTTAATATATGAGGCATTCACGGCGAAACTCCGATATTTAGAAACAGGAAGTATAATCGACGTATTCATTGATATAATTGCATCACGAGTTGACACTTGAGGTTGTAATGTACAATGAACTTACTGCCAAATGACTGGGGTCCGCTGGGGTTGACACAAGGTTGACTGCTGAAGAACTCTGGGTTGATTCCGAGCCGAGACAACAGCGCTAGCGATGCTCCTTGGATGACCTGTCCTGATAGTGTTTCTATAAAACCATCAGCTGGATCGAAGACAGGAAAATATTAACGATGTTGTGACTTATGAGAGGAAAACTGGGTTTTCAGCAAATAAATTCGCGTCACAAAGTGGTGGAAAATTCAGAGCATCTCAAATTTCATAGATGTCTCGTCCTGCACGCAATTGAGAAGACCTAAACCTAAGAGGACCATGGTAGATGTTCCTCAGTAGAATTCCTCAGTAGAATAAAATTCACGAAAGTTATAATGTCAGACTTCCACGGCCCTATAATTTGTTACCTACAGTGTTGTTAATCGAGCCCTCGATCTTGCAACAGCAAAGAGAATTGTAAGGGTTAAGATGGGCAATGTTCCAAGATGGGCAATGTTCCTAATTCACAACAGTGTGTACGCCTACCATAATAGGGAATGCTCGCCACACACTGCGACAGCTCAAGGAAGACTTTCAGTGCATTTTGATCCTGAATTTCCAGCAAATGGAGTCAATATATCCTTGTCTGACCAATACAGGATTTCTCAACATTCACAAAATTTCTCCTTGTAGGACCGATAAAGAATTTCTCTTGCAAAGATATTTAACCCACCAGAAATGCTGTAGTTGCTGAAGCCCGGGTTGCACACAGGGATGGGTATGTTATGCTGTAGGTCAATGTCACTGCACAGTCCATCGATGCAGTATTCAAGAGTCATACTCATCTCAAATTCTTTGGAGTCATTCTGCTTGTCAATAGAGTACCTGGAGGGGAGGCAATGGTCAAAACAGTTGCGAGAAGTATAACATAATTTTTGTGTGCGAAATAAGTGTGAACATTTTGGGCAAATCAAAGTCAGGAAGAAACACTCCCAGACGCAAAACAATAATGTACTTTCACAAAGTAGTTTTACAATTCACCTGTGCAAAATAACGATGCAAAATGTAATTTTAACAACCTTCTCTACACTCTGTAAGATAATAACACCCATTTACGTCGGTCTCCAACCTCCGACCGGGGTTATATTTATCCAAGAAGTCCAATAAAAATATCAAATAGAAAGAAAACTTAAGTTTAGGTCGACAGTACTACTTATTTATTCAAAACGATCATGAGGCACGTGGTAGAATATTATTTCTTAAATGTTGCATACGTAGGTCTCCTACCTCAGGTTAATTCCTGAGGCAGTTGAAACTGCCCTTTCCTCTCCTAAAACAAAGGAAAAAAGGATTTTATTTCAAACAAGTACGAAAGCAGTCCAATCGTCACCTTCCACATGCATTATTCAAGATATTTACATCTCCTGCATCACATGCAATGTGCAAATCTAAACAACATGATTTTCTTTCGGTGTTGCTGGTACTAGGGTTTTAGAATCGTCACCAAAGAATCAGAGGTTCAAATTCAGCTATATTCTTGTCATATTTCATGTCCTTGAACGAGTCTATTCACTCCCATACTTGTGTCTTTCCAACAATTCTGGGTGCTGCAATATCTCGCATACCACCTGCGATGAACTGGTATGCCTTCTGGGAGATAAGAAATATTCCGAGTCGTTTCATGCCAGGAAAGGCAGAGAATGATATACCGTAAAATTAGTTATAAAAGACATGTTTTGGTGCAAATTCAGCAGAGAGAAGCAATCCACAAGTCCTTGGTCACAATGTCGAACTTACAACTTTGCGAAACCTTCCGCTAAATCTACTCTAAGACACAACAGACTCTTAAGCCTACCCCACTGATAAGTGAAGACAGAGCCGTGAAAGGACCACTTCTCCAGGCCCAACGTGAAGGTGAAATCACAGGGGTCAAACTTGAACCACGCCGTGGCCGAAACATCTGCTATCTTCAGGTCCAGGTCCAGGCAGCATTGTAGCTCCGAGCATGTTTCACCAATTAGGGAGCAGTTGCCAAGGAAACTAGCAGAACTAGCACAGACATCTTCAGGAAATCACAAACAGTTAATTTTTGGGATTGCTCAGCATTTTTAAAAGCGAAGGGACAAAGTGAATGCGCATGAAAAACAGGTTATTATATCTGCTATACATTTAGGAATACAAATATGCGGTTTCCACTAGGTGGAAACATAAAACAACAATTTTAATCTAACATGATTATCTGTGAATCCTTTTAACAAAGTTTACCCCGTCGCCAATGTAAATAAAACCATTCGACCACCGAACTCGGTGGGATCGACTGGCCGGTCACAAGAAGCAGAGGGTACTTCGAACTATTTCCAGAGAAATAATTACGTCGGGAAGATGTCCATTTCGTAACGGATTTTGCCAGACGCAAAATACAGTGTAATATTGAACATTTCACAGACATCTATTGTGGTAATGACCATGCATTAGCCTAACCGTAACTTCCACTGATTCAAACTGTAGACCTCTACAGTATCAACACTGAATTTGATCAGAGATTCTTAATGTTACAGCAAACTTTAGCCCTGGTACATCATTTTGGCCATTCTCAGAATTGCATCATTTGCCTAAGCGTCTTATGCATTAAAGAGAAAAAAGCAGTATCTATAGTCACACGCATCTTATTTTCTTTTACAAACCTTGTATGTGGGGGGAGCACGCCTTTCCTGTTAGGAAGCCTGTCATGTTTAGATGGCGCAAGGTTGCATCTATGGCAAACTGACCGATATTACCGCCAAGATAGGCCAGGAAGCCTGATACAGTGCCATCACCTGAGAATTACAAAATGACGACAAACATTCTGAGATCTAGATAGGAACGTTTCTCAATGTGGACTGCACACATGAACTGCAGATAGGGTTGTGTGGCCTGCGCAACACAATGTGTGGGGCACTGCATAGGCCTACATACATACAGACACATGCTGAACTTCGTTGAATGTGCACAATTATTCACTTTCGCATGAAAACTGACGGCAATGCAATAATTTTTTAAAAATTACATTTCGTTTGAGTCCATTGATACAGATTTACTTTGTTGGAGAAAGCTCTGCCTAATGTCTATTTAAAATACTATTTGCAGATACACAAGTCAAAAACAATATGCACTTTTACGCCTGCTTTAAACTAATGTGAAAGCATCAAAGCTTAATAATCTTATTGTATTTAATTTACAGCTAAGTACGTACAATTGGAAAATTAAAAAAATTCTAAGGTTTGACGATACCGGGAAGAGTAAATGGATCGTCAGTGTTGCACAGTGGTATTGGTAGACGGCTAGCAGAAAACACAGTGAAAGTATTACAGGCTCCATCTACACATACGACTAGGGAAAGGTCTACTTCAAACTGCTTGTCTTCGGTGATCTTGGCCACTCGCCATCTACAAAACAATAGAACATGGAATGATACCTTGAAACTTGTACTTACGTTAGAAGCTTAAAGTATGAAAACTAGCCCTGGCTTGTTAAATTCGGTGTTAGGCCGCTGTTTTATTATTTCTGGCAGTTGGTATAGTTAAAACATGATCGGGCACATGAGTTACATATACCTTATTCTCAGAACGTCATTCACAACTTCCTCCATGGTATCTCCCAAAGGATAATGAAACAAGGTGACGCTTCGTTCCCACTTCTCAAAACCCACTGACAGGGTGAAGTTGCAGGGATACAGGATGACCCAGGCATTGACGATGCGCGTAGTAATCTTGAAGTCCATTTCCAGACAACATCGGATACCCAGGCAGGAATCGGTGACGGCGCACGATAGGAAGTCGGGAAGTTGAGAAATATCGACTCCTGGACAGCCTAAATTAGAAAGAAAGTCAGTGACCAAGGCGAAATCAATGAAAGCGCAACAATTAGAAATAAAAAAAGGACATTCAGGGAGGTCTCTAATATAAGGGCCACACAACCTAAATAACTCAGAACATCAAGACAAGAAATAACAAGAAAGTGGATGGACGATGCAGAGATAAGAGTTCGTAACACAGTTAGGTATCTGGTTTGGAAGCTGCATTACAGGCTTACCTTGGTATTAAATTAAGAAGACCAATGACAAAATATGACAGAGCAAGAGCGAAAGCTAGAAGCCTATCAGTTACAAGTTTGGCAAAAGTTAGTGACAAATTCAAATGTTTGAAACTGGAAAGCTGAACGCCAACCTAAAATACGGACAGAATAGATGTAAATATCGGTAGGCCTATGTTGCCAAAGCAATGCTAGCCTTTAGTCCTTCCAAGTGGGGATACAGCCTCATTTCCAATGCAAGCAATAATCAATATGATAATCATAACTTACCACTTCTCAAAGTGCCTGGTGCTCCTCTATCACACGGTGTACTCTGTAGATATTGCTGTAGTGGATGAAGATGAGATCTGATAACATTGAGTTAACAGTTGACACAATACCGTAACGTGCTCACCTCTCCGAATAGCCATAGAATATTGCATGCTAGCTTTCGTACGCGCAGATGCTGTCCTTTCTGTGAAGCGTGTGGTACATAAACAATGCACTTAAAACATCAGGCGGTGGGCCATATACAAGAAATTTTCTACAATTTTGGGATTGTGTTGAAATTACCTTGTGGGGTACCAAAAATGGGAGATACTGGGTACAATAGCAAATACCACACGAGGATATCATGAAAAAGATTTTTAGAATTTACCCCAAAAGAGAAAATATGGACTAATTGTGGCAAATTGAATTATATAGGACATATTTATGAGGGACAAAGCATAACGGGAGCACTTTGAAATCTGCCCTTTCAGCACCTTTTGGTATTTTTTAGAATAAAGAAAATATCCCAGAAGGACAAAAATGAAAAATGAGTGTAAATTAATCAGTAAGTGTGCGATCCTGCGAAAGGTAACGTCTTAAAGGGAAAGTGCGCGGTAGAAACAGGATCTCGAACTTACATTTTTCCCCCACCAGGCACAGGTCTACACCTCGGGCCAATTTCATAGAGTTGCTTAAGCACAAAAGCTGCTTAAGCGGGAAAACACTTTGCATAATAAACAAAGGTTACCAGATCAAAGTCTATCTGATTGTCATGCTAACAAAAAAAAAGAAAAAAAAGAAAAAAGAAAAACCGGCTAAATACAGTCCCAACACATTATTCATCACATGGAGTTTGGGCTGGTTACCTGATTTATCAAGTAAGTAAGGTTTTTTCGTGCTTAACCAATTTTTGTGCTTAAGCAGCTTTATGAAATAGGCCCCTGGTCATCATATGGCTAATTAGTGCTTTTGGGTTAAGGCGGCGCAACTAAAATAGCATGCAACGTGATGCTGTGATTCCATAACGAATTTCTCCCCAAGGTAGTTTATTCTGTCCTGTGGAACCAATGCAAGCGACAGGCAAAGCACAAGAAACCAATGTCTGCTCACACTCAAGCCAAATTTCTCCAGCACGAGGTCAATGGCAGAGTTTCCGATACGGCCGCCCAGTTCTTGTATAAATCCCTCCACTGTTCCATCACCGGGTAAGGTGAATGAGCTGACGTTGGTGTTGCACAGAGGTATGGGAACCCAGACGTGGTCCAGTACCGCGGTTGAGGTGCAGGTGTCATCAATGCACAGCACGATGTTGAGGGTCACAGAAAAGACTTCCTTTGCTGTCAGCTTGTCAATAGAATACCTTCATATTGACAAAAATTATGCATGTATTCTCAAAATGTTAGTATCTGAGTCACTATAGTGCCTGGAAGGTACATTCATATCTGTTTCAAGAATTCCTCTCACTCTATTTGAACAAAATGCAGCTCTGTCATTTCAAACGCAGTGATTGATCAAAGTAAAATAATTGCTAAAGAACTTGCACAATTCGAAAATAAGAAAAGATTTGCTATACAGCAAATCAGTCAATAATGACTGAGAATACTGACACAGGACGACTTGGGATAAATAATCAGTCGATCGAATTTAAATCATGAAAATGTAAAGGCTTGTTCGTATAATAATGAATTTAGAACTCAAAGCGTGAGAAAAAGGTCGTTCAAAAACCACTCAAACATACAAGTTCATCCAATTCCCAAATGTTAATAGGAGAAACACTTACTTCAGCAATACAGCATTGCCAATGTTCAGAGTTTCCACATTTCCCCAAGTGTAGCTGAAGAGCGTGACGTTAAGCTCCCAGCTCTCAAAAGCCACGTAAAGCTGGTAGTTGCACGGGTCCACTTGGATCCTTGCGCTCAGCATGAGTTCCGTGATGATGAAGTCTAGATGGATGCAGCATTGGATGCTCAGGCAACGGTCGTCGATGGAGCACTGGACGACGTTCTCCAGGAATGGCAAGGAAATCCTTGGGCAGTCTGGTCAAAAAACGATTCAAGAGGGAAAAGAGCTTCTTTGAGAGAGGATAAATTTGAAGTGAATCAAAGGAAACTGGCTGACATCAGTGAAGTATTCGCTGCATTTTTTGGGGGCTTAGATTTTGGGACCCTTACTGATTCATCCTATAATTTGTATGTGAACATAGATGATTGTGGTCAGTGCCTTGTATGCGTGTTCTTCTATGCTACCTCCAAATGAAAACTATTGAAGAACAGCAGAACAATAATATTTGAAGGGTGCTGACATTAATTTGAAAGCTGGCCTCTTAAATAATGCCTCACATTAGTTTGAATTACTGAAGGTACAAACTTGTCCCCGCTAATATTGTTTATGGGCTGGACGTCAAAATAAAGTAAGCTGAAAGAAATGCTAGGCCAGTGCCAGAGTAGAAACATGTTTGGTTGCCACCCAAAAATAACCCTATCAATAATTATATTTGAGACTCTCCAGCCCATCAGTGAAAATCCCCCAGTTTTAAATATTGAATATTGACAATACTGACTAGAGAAACGGTAAAACTTATGTTTTAGTACATGTGGGGACGCAAGTTGCTGAAGCCTAACTTGAACTTCAATGAACCTCAGTTATGCCACCTCTTTAGTTTTATTTGTCAAAGATAAAGATCTGCTTCTCCACAACTGCTTTCAAATTTTCTATAAATGACGGACTCACGAGCATTTGGCTCTGAGGCCAACTGGCACGTTCCTCCAATTATAACATCCTGCGAAACGAAAAACGAACAAGTTAATTTCAAAGAGTAATTTGAAAAAAGACAAAGGCATCAGTTATGTAAAATTCGTAGAAAAGTGAAAATCAATCCAGAGCATTGAAAATCGTCTGTTGCTCCAAAAATGTTAGAACATGGAATCCTTGAAAGTAATATTGGTAGGAACATGAATTCATACCTGTAAGTTGAGTCGTTGGAGAACGAGCTGGATGGCTGCCTGTCCAACATTGTCGCCCAGCTCCTCCAGGAAACCTCTCACCGTGCCGTCACCAGGCAAGGCCAGGGAGGAGTTGGCATTGCAGATGGGTATTGGGAATCTCTCATTGGTCATGATGGGGAAATGTGTGGTGAAACCATCAATACGGAAGGAAAAGGTAAGATCCACTTCGTACTCCTTTGTAGCATCCAACTTGTCGATTGAAAACCTGGACAGTATGAATGAAAATTATTATACCAGTTTATGGTCCTAACTAAATTTAACTATTTTAACCATATTTTGGTGTACAGTATTCTTCCTACTTTGTATTCTATGTTTACAGAGAGTATAATGTGTAATGAGTGTAATGTAGGCAGAGGGTGTCATTCTGAAACGTGGGCATCAACTTTAATCTGTTTTAGTGTTACGGTGTAAAATCAACTTTCTTTTGAGTGGGATTTCCAGATCCAATTTCAAATTGAGAGGAGTTACAGACACTTGAGTAAACCTCTTTACAGTTACTTCTTTATATGAAATAGATATAGATGTCAATAGCTAATTCTGAAATCCACTTAAAACTGGGCTTTTCTAAATATTTATACACTCACATAACACTGAGAGCATTTCCTATCATAAAATTTTCCATCACTCCCCACTCGTAGGAAAACAGGGACGCGTTGAAGAACCACATCTCCAGCCCGACAGACACGGTGTAGTCACATGGGTCGATGATAAACCATGCCTTGGTGCTGATCTGGGTCAGCTTGAGATCAAGTGTTAGACAGCAGTGGAGACTTGTACAACGGCTGCTGATATGACATGACAAGCTGGGAAGGTTGTCAGGAATCTGAACTGGACAGTCTGAATAAGAAATCCCCAAAACATTAGTGAGACTAATCAAGCAAAAAAATACATGAAATGGATAATATCATACAGTTTGAGTCAAATCATAATATCCTGTGCAGTCATTTATGAAACCAAAAGCAGCGTAACTGGCACAAACGTAACAAGAAGAGTTACTACAAAATTGGGCAGTTTTATACCCGTTTTAAATAGACGAATGTAAAACAGCGGTTAATGATCAGAGGTGGATCCAGGATTTTCCAAAGGAGGGAGGGGGTTGTACTAATTTGGCCGCGCATCCAGTTACGTTCCGGTTAATAACACTTTTGGGTTCCCTCTTCTTCATAACTTTTTCCAACATAAAAACCAAGTCATCTATTTGTTTGTTAAAAACAGAATAGTGTGTTGAGATTTTGACCATGTAAATTTTGTTTTGCCGGAAAATTTGTCAATACTTACTTTCATTGCCAGCGTCAGGTGATGTGGGCAGATTACAGGTGTCTCTGGACAGGAAATTCTGTGAACGCAGAAGTGAAAATCAACACAAATTAACGAATTCAAATATTACAGATTATTACTTGCTTTTAAATTTCAGGCTTTTCAAAACACCACATGCAAAAGATCAACTTCCCAAACATACATTAATTTTTCTTCATTGTTTATTTATCAATTCAGCAACGGATCCACTTGTCTCACCTTCAGTCCCAAGTGGTCTAATACTAAATCCACTGCTGTGTCTGTGACTTGACCACCTAAGCTCTCCAGGAAGCCTGAGATAGTGCCATTCCCAGGCAAGTTGAGGGTGGCATTTGGGTTGCAGATCGGAATGGGTATGTGTGCTGCCTGAAGCAAGTGAATGGGTCTGCATCTGCCATCTACGCACAGGCTTACAGACAGGTCTATCAAGAACTCCTTTTGTGCCGTCAATTTGTCAACTTTATACCTAAGGATATTGAAAAAAATAAGTGAGGCATTGCAATACACTCTCCACCATTTTCATGATGCTTCTTCTGAACAGCATTAATAACAAGGACACGGCTATGCCAGAATCAATGATGACTCGTATAAAACTTAAATGTGTCAAAGGGCCTGTGGTTGCCGCCTCTTTATCCCAAGACTTCCATAGTCATGGAAGTACTTCAAGCTGTAGCCACAACTTTCAGAATATCCAACTTACGCTATGTGAACCGAATCACTGAGGTCTAACACCCTGTTGGCTCCCCAATCGTATTCAAAAATTGTGACATTCTTTGACCACGACCCCAGCCCAACAGTCAATTTCAATTCGCAGGGGTCTAGGGCAGCCGAAACGGTGGTGGACAACTGAGTGAAGATCAGGTCCAGGGAGGCACAGCATGTCAGGCCAAGGCATCGGTCATCCACTGTGCAGGTTAGGAAGCTGGTCGGTGGTGGCAGTCTCAGAAGTGGACATTCTAAGGGAAAAGCAAATATGAATGGCCAAATGGTGGCGATAATATGCAAGTAAAAACGTTTTATTTTACCCCAGGCCTATACAACTGTGGGGTTCTTGTAACAATGATGGAATTTAGCAAAACAAGAGTATATCTTATATACTCTATAACAAGAGTATATCTTTGCGACTCATGTAGACAAAAGAAAACTCACTGTTTGCACTACTAACATGAAATGAAATACATGTTTTTGTTTAGTGGGAAAATGTAGTTAAGTCAAGGGCCAAAACACCTATAAAAAGTGGGGCGGTGAATGATAACAGCTTAATAAGTAAAACAAGGAATGAACTTACTGTTTTCACTTGGGGCAAGTATCTCCAAGTCACATTGGTGGCTGTCAATATATTGCTGAAAAAATAAATAGAAAGACACTCTGGCTATATTTATTTTCATCCTATACGAGTCTCACCGACAGTAATCAAAGTTTTCGATGATCACAAGCGCAAAAGTGAAACATTTGTTGAGCAGGCACGCTTTGCATGTAACCCTGTTTCTTCCCACCTATGACTGTTTGCAATTTAACTGTAAATAGCTATCTTGTATCTCTGTTTGTAGCCATTTGGACTTGAATTTCACGATGTTTATACTACACCTTTACCTGGATTCCAAGTTTTCGGAGGCCGGCTTGAACAGCCAACTCTCCAACGTTCCCAGCAAGATCCCGGGCAAGTCCTGCAAAGGTGCCATTTCCCGGCAGCTCAAAGGAGGCATTAAGGTTGCAGAACGGGATGGGAACCAAAGCATCGCGGAGCACCGGTGTGGATGTACAGTCACCATCCAAACAGAATGAGATTTCCAAATTGATCCGAAAGGACTCCTCTGCATTCAACTTGTCAATGGTCATACTGCAAGATGATGGACAAGAAAAGGCAACCAGTTGGTATATTATATTTCCAGTTTCTGTTCTTTCAAGAGTAGTAAAAACTAGGCTACAAAGGTCTATAGAAGCAAATATGATTACTGAAAATAACTTAGTTATAGGTGCGTGCACTAAATTAAATTCCAGGAATATAGGTCCTGTAACCAGTTTTACACTATATTGCCATCACCAGCAAAGTTCCTCACCGTATTGCGACAGCGTTCCCTACGTTGACCTCTTCCTGTCGACCCCAAGGATAAGACAATATTTTCAAATCCTGCTGCCAGCTGCCAAGGCCCACGGAGAGTTTATAAGTACAAGGATCAAAGATAAAGAAGACCTGAGTGCTGATGGGAGCGATCCCTGGGATTGGGAGCTCCATACAGCAACTGAACCCGAGACACTTCTCCGGCAGGGTGCAGATGAGGTTACTGGGAAGGTGAGGGAGTCTGACATCTCGTGGACAAACTGTACAAGGAAATAGTTGTAACTTTCTATCAATACTCGCGCCAGGGGGAGTTGAATGTGAGTACACTTTATTGTCAACAGCACATCCTAGTGTTATTAAAATATTCAGCTCAAAAAGTTATCAAACCAAAGACAAGCTTATGGAAGATGCAACTTTGGCTTGTGGAAAAGAAAACCAAGAACATTCTGTTCGGTTGTGGAATTTCCAGTATTTTAAATGACATTTTTTTTTACATAGCCATTTTGTGGGAACCAAAATGGAGTATTTGGTAAACTTACGTCTCTGCCAACCATTCTGCGTTACTTGTGGACGTACACATGGCTCCCGACTAATGTATTCCTACATTGATAATTATAAGGTAGAAAAAGATTTTTTCAATTCTCCTGCATATGCGTTATCTAAGTGGGGGCTTGCACAATGACATAAAAAAGCAGGCATTTAAATTCTGGTCAAAATTTTAAGAGAAATGAAGAATTAATACGGTGCCAAGAATGCAACTTCTCCCACATAATCTAAGAATTAGCTCGGATATGAGTAAATGCAGTCATGATGCTGTAAAGTTGCAACTATTTCTAAATTAATGATGACCGGCTTAAAATTTAAGGGGAACATATAAAAACAGTATTCAGACACAATTTCCTAATGTCAGGTTTTGCCGATTTGGCACACTAAAATACCGCTTAAATACACAGTGTACAAGGTATTTTTTTATAAGCGTTTCATGCTACAGAGTTTTGGATCCTAGCCAGAGAAACTGATACAAGCAAGACATTTCAGTCCCTATACCCCTGGAAACATTACTGCAAAGCTGTTTCTACTAAAGGCTATATCCAAACCCCTTTTTAAAAGACTCACGGATAGCCCCAGATGTTTTAGAATGGCATCTATAGCTGAATCGGCAGCATTCTGACCGACTATCCGCAAGAAGCCTTTAACGCTTCCATCCCCTGTGGAATGAGGCAAATCGTACGTTTGCAATAGTTTATCGTAGTTGAGGCTGTTCGTGGATATACTCAAAGCAGCAAGTGTCATACTAAAGGAGGCCTACATTTTGAACAGCACTTCAACAATTCGGTGTAAGTGTAGAGCCTTTTACAACTCTTCAAAGATTGCATGTCAATTTGCACGTCTTTCTGCTTCTTGAGTTAAAAGTAACAATGTAAATAAATTCTTTTTCAAAACGACCAAAATAATGACATTAATACCACTCTGTGTAAGATTTTGGTGGGGATGTAATTGCGTAAGTAGATTTGTTTCAATTACATCTATGACCTAGTCATGCTTCTATTTGTCACAAAGCTAATGGAAACTAACAGATATGAAATCAATAGCCTGAAAACATCAGACCTGGAAGAGTGAATGTAGCATTCTCATTGCAGAGTGGAATCGGCACTCGGGTTTTCCTAAGGATGTCAATTGAAGGTGTGTTACAATCTGAATCTGGCAGGCAGAGGGACAGGGCTAGATCCAGCACAAACACCTTGTCCTCAGTGAGCTTGTCGATGGTGTAGATGAGGGTCAGGGCTTTACCAATCTTGAGCTGCTCCTGGGTACCTGGTAAAAATATGCAGCCATAGCATGAATTTCTAACCTTACAAGTATCATAAATACAACTTTGTGAAAAGTACTGGTTTTTCCTCTTTTTCTGTAGTTTTATAATAGGTCCCTGGGTCAGGTTAATTTTTGGAAAAGGTCTATTTCAGGTTTATTTGGGTTTCCAAAATAAAAAGCACATTTGATTTGCATTGAATTTGATAATATTATTACTCAGGGATTAATCGAGCTTGGAAAGAAGCACGACGGTTAGGAGTTTGGACAAGAATAACAGTTAATCGTTTTAAAAGGTAATTTGACTTCGTTAAATATAAACTCAACAAAACGGGAGAAATCACAGTTGGTTGACTGGTTCTGTTTGTTAACATTCATGGAAGTAAAAGTGGTTACATTGAAGGAGAATTTGACAGCCACGGCGTTATGTTTTAGATGATGCACTTACCCCAGTGGTAGTCAAATATGGTGAATATCAAGGACCACGTTCCAAACCCAACAGACAATGTGAACTCGCATGGATCTAGAATCAGCCACGCATTGACCGACAGTGTGGTGACTTGCAGATCAAGTTCAACACAGCATCGGATGCCCAGGCATTCTCGTGACAGCTCACAGGTCAGTCCGTTCGAAACTGATGGTAGGCTGACGTCCGTACAAACTGTGTATGGAAAGAGCCAAGCAAAACGGCGAATGACTAGGGTTTCTATCGTAGCTTTGCTGATCTAGTCCATAATTGAACGTTTACCTGGAATATTCCTTTTGGGTTTCCTCCAACCTCTAAAACTGTAACTGCTTATCATTACCTCCCTCAAAAGTTTAATTAGACAGGGGAATTTTTGTTGATTTCATTACCGATAATTTTCACATTAATATTCACATTTTCACATAACATTCTGAACTCTCTTTACAGGATCAGCCATTGACATTAATGTTAAGTGTAACTTAGTCCCATATATGTATTTACTTCACGTCATAAACCTTCTTAAAGGCCACAAGACTGACTGGCTTGTGAGACAGCCTTCAAGCTAAAAACATCTACAAAGCCTGATAGCTTCAAATGGCAGAAACAAAATCTAGACAATTTTTTACACAATACCTTTTTCATCTGCATCAACCATATACATGTATGTATTCAATTGAATTTCGCAAACTTTCTGAAGGTAACTGCAAGACTAACTGGGAAGTAAAACTTAACAGCTTTCCCTGACAGAGAGGCAATCTTGGCACAAATTACAAACAGGGAAACACCGAAATGTACCTTCTTCGCCAGCTGCAACCAGGTCTGTAGTGTTGCAGGGCCCATCGTTAATCTTATCCCTCAGTCCAATGTACTCCAGCAAGATGTTTACCGCTTGCTGACCAGCATTCCGACCAACTGCAGCCACAAACTCACTCAGGTTATTGCCTCCTGTAGATTAAGAAAGATCAACGATATATAATAGACTGATTAAATTTCTCCTTAGCTGGATGATACAGAAATTAAAGGCCATAAAATATATAAGGCGAGGAGCCAATTAGATTTGTCTCCAGGCTTTTGGTTGTGGAAATTGGTTCTGACGAGAACAATAAAAATACAGACGCACAATGAGACACAGCTTATTTATAATATCATTTTTGCCAAAAGAGGCACCTCAATAACCTCTTCACAGAACACTGTTACATTTTGTAGATACCACGAAGACTATCCATTTGTGAAGCTTCCTGGGATCAACCAACTTTAATTTAGTATTAACAGCTGAAAAAAATCATTATTATTACATCCTGCTTACCTGGAAGGGAGAATGAGAAGTTGGAGTTGCAAACAGGAATGGGCACCCTGTAGTCCTGGATGATGTCTAAATCAAAGATGCAATCCTCGCCACTCGGACAGACAGAGGCACCAAAGTCAATTTCAAACTCCTTATCAGCATCCTTTTTGTCGATGGAATATTTCAGGGTAATGACACCTATAGTTTGCTGCTGTGGTTGTCCTGAGCATGTATATACAATGATCGTAGGAACAAATTACTCACAGTAGCTGGACCACAACGGTACAACTTCTTAGGCAATCCAATCCAATCCAATCCAAAAATTTGCATTTTTAATGGACAAAACTCTACTCAAACCAGCATTCATTTTATGAAGCAGGTTGCCGGTTTGCCAGGGCAATTTATCTATGATAACGTACAGATATAATTCTTGAAGGCAGGGTCTTTCAAACTGTAATATCAGAGCAGACACCCTCTGGATTTTGTAACAAGTATAACAAGTATGATTATCGGAAATTTTCACGAGAAGCCACAAGTCTGAATGTGAGCCAAGACACAAGCAGAAGCGGTAAGAAATAGGTTCCTTTGATTTGCTTAATTATGTCTCAACCACTGCGTTGAATGTCCTTGTATGACTACTGAAAAATATCTGTGAAGTACATTAGAACTACTTAACTACTGGGAAGGATCGGAAAACGGCTATTACTCACCCCAATCATAACTCAATAGTAATTTCTTATATTTGAGGTGCTGAAAGGCAACAACAAAGGTGAAGTCGCAGGCGTTGACCTCCACGAAGGCGTTGAACGATCGGCGGAATTTTATCTTCTGGAGGTTGAGCTCCAGGCAGCAGTCAAGACGGAGGCAGCTTTCGCTCAGGGAGCAGTAGGCCACCTTAGCCAGCTCCGGGGAGAACATTGGCAAGGTGAAGGACCGACATGCTGCAAAGGTAAAGGCCAATTTTGAAAAATTAATAATGTCAATGTTTGATGGTAACCTGAGATCAATTTCACAGACTTATCTATAAGTCCAGAGGACTATCACCTTGCACTTACTTCTGTCATCCTCAGACAGTCTGGCCTCCAGCTCCATCCTGGTGCCAGTTGTCGGCAGTTGTCTGCTTTCCAGTGTTTCGATAAGCTGGGATTCTGTCAAACTCGATGGTGTCGGACATGGATGTTTGTTTCGCAAAAATTCCTGAAATATATGGAGATTGGTGACTTACACGTTTCATGAAATAAGATTAGTTGCATTATCTCAACAATAGATCTAATTTGGTTACGTCCATCTTTGGGGCTTGGATTTCTGTTTTTACCTCGAGAATTCCATTCTCACACGGCCCTAAGCTTACCCATGCTTCTTTGATTAACAGGTACAATTCCCCATGCTGCATTCCTTCGTAACATTCGAAGAAAAACAAAATGACCAAAGCGGGAGAATGCTAGGCCCACCACATCTTTGAGAGCCTCATTGTTAATTTGGGTTCAGATTTGTGGCCTGTCTGCTGTTTAGAAAACACAGTTTGGGAAATATTATATTGTGACATATTGAGTGATAACCTATATTATCAGAAAATATTTCAGTGCTGGCAAATTGCCGTGCATTTCGGTAAAGTATTATTTTGTGACACTGTAAAATAAATCAACCTTTGGTATGCCAAGCTCGTTCAGGACGTAGCGAAGAGCGGTTTCCGCGCCTGCCTGCAGTAGCTCCTCTCCAGTCTCTTTGAGTATCTTATTCAGGGCGGCACGGGAGAAATACTCCTCAAGATCAACTAAGAAACAACAAAAACAGATTACATACAGACATTTGCTTCAGATTACGAACATGTCGGTTCTCTTTGGTACGGTGTACGATTGGTCATGTCTTCATCCCTTGCCATTCATCCCAAAATCAATCGAAATCGACTGGAGGGGTGGCGGTGGAAGATTTTGTGACACTGTTTGAGGTATAGAACTGCACTATGACTTTATATATATGCTTGTTCAAAAATTAAACAGTGACTGCAAAATATATGCCACTGGCACAGTAGAAAATACTGGAGATTCGAGATGAGCAGACTTGAGAGTAATATTTTTCATCGGTTGCCATCTTAACTATGGCAGAATAAAAAGCGCCTCAGAAATGGACTCCATATGGACTCCTGTTGATTCCCCGATGGGCTCAGTCCTGGGTTTCTGAGTGTCAAATATGGAATCAATTTTTGGGACTTGTCCAAGCAAATTCTTATTTCTCAAAATCGTGAAAGTATTTCACAACAGATCTGTTTTATATTTTATGGTCTGTGGTGCTTACTCTTTGGCCAAGTGATGGTTCCGTTGGGGTGACAGATGGGCAAGGGGATGGCCGAATCAGTCAATACGTTGATGAATGAGAAACAGTCTGCATCACCAGTCTTCGGGCAGAAACCAACTGACATGCTGACCAGTAGTTGAGTTCTACTCTTTTCAATCGTGATCCTGGAGAGTTGACAGTCATTACAAGGTGAGAAAGGAGGGTGTTAGGCACGGTGAAATATTGTAAAAGAGGAAAAATTCGAGAGGAAAAACGGGGAGAGAGAAAGATAAACATAAAGTTTCTGAAAAATACCTGAGAATGGACCCCTTCCATTAATGGCTTATCAGTTTGCTGCTGATGTGTACCTTGCCCCCTTCCAAAATCTACCACCCTGAGAAGAGTCGTGGAGACGCCATAGTCAAGTGCCCTCTCAAATGGTAAGAAGAGTGCACAATTACCCTTTTACGCATGACAACCATGAAGACCATTTCAGGTCTGTGCATATTCCAATGGTCGTGTGTACTCGTGCCACATTCACAAGCAGTGTGTACTTCACACTGGAGTTGCCTTTACTGACACAGTCTCAGGGATTCGACCAACAATCAAAAAAATGTTTCAATATTGGACAACATGACTGATTTGAATTTCCTACATGTTTTCGAAAAGTTTTAATTTATTGCGACAGTGTATACTAATGAAATAGTCCAATGTATTTGCTTCAGGATGGGAGATTATAACCACTACTCGTTGCTATTTTTTGTGGGGGGAATGCATCTCAGGTTGAAAACCCCGGACAAAGAGACATAACAGTTTCAAAAGCTTAGACAAGTACGTTTACAGTGAAATACCTGCTAGACAAATGTTTAATAAACCCCAAAGGCAAAAAAAACCCCCAAAACAAAAAACTGAATCCGCCTCTCTTTTTAAGGCACCCCTTTTAAAATGGCGACACGAGAGTATTTTAAATTATGTATTGTACATTTATGTCCAAAACGATGTAGAAGAAAAACCTCAAATTATTTTGTGCAAAGTTGTGAAAGGTGACATCATAAAAAACAACAAAATTACCTCAGGTGCAATTCCATATCATCAACAAAGGGGATGTCGAACGGCACAGGCACATCTAATTCCTCACCTAGAGAGGAAAGTGTATTTTGTTGAAAAAGCCCAATCAGATTTATTTATATCCCCTGAATTGAAGCATCTTTTTCTGGTCTCATAATGAAATTATACCAGCTTATACCACTGATGCTTCTTTGAGAGTAAATAACCCTCTAACGGAGTGCTTTGTACTGAACACTCTAAGAATTAATAATGAAGGCTGATTTTAATCTTTCAGAAATTGATCCAAAAATAATTGGGGCGGAATCCCCCTTCATTAGTTTCTCCAATATTACCGCAATGCACTTTCCCTATGCCGATCTTTCAGGAGAGGTACTAACAAGATGTGTCTTTGAATCATGCCAAGGTTTAAAAGATCGAGCTTGGGCCAGTAAACCAATTCCCCCATGGTCCAAAAAAGCCTGACCCAGGAAGGGTTGCAGCATTTGTTTTCGAATTACCCAACCTGCATATTATTCAGATTGTAGATTTGATAAGCAACAGTAACAAACACGAAGTAGTTTATGCATCCCTGTCAAAGATAGAAAATAGAATTTGTGAATGAGATTTTACAAGGCCACACCTGATTCTTGTCAATGTGTACATTCTAAAAACTCCTACGTCAGATTGACCCAACATTGGGTCTCATTCGGCATGACCCTTTTCTGGGTCAAAATATGACCCCCCTTTCAGGTCATATCTGATCCTTTTGGAGTAAATTTTGACCTTTTTGGTTCATAATTAGACCCGGAAAAGGGTCAGGCCGAATGTGACCTAATTTTGGGGTCAATCTGACCCGGGAGCTTTTCGAGTGTATAACGAGTTCTCAAGTTCTTCACCGCTTGCGAAACGGTGAGCAAGTGGTGACAAACTGATAAGACGCTAAATGTCTATTCTGAGAATGGTATTAATACAGAAAACGGGACTTACCAAATTCAGCTTCCAGGATCTGGATCGTGTAGTTCCACGAGTTGACTCCGAGGACAAACTGGAATTCGCATGGGTCAAAACGCATGAACGCTTTGAAGGCCAGAGATACCATAAAGAGTTTGACATTCATGCAGCACTCAACGCCCAGGCAGCTTGGGTCAATCTTACAGAACACGTTCTTGGGCAAGGAAACTTGAAGTAGGGGACAACCTGATAAAACAAATCGAAAGAATAGTCCCAGCCACTCCACAGCTTTGTTAAATGTACGACAAATGTGTGAAAATCAGTGAGACACTAGACTGACATGCAACTATTATGGAGATATCGTGCAGCGTTGCGTATCCAGAAGCTTGGGCCAATCTCACAGTACACATGCTTAGGCAAGGAAACTTAGAGCAAGGATATAAAAAGAAGTAGTCTATCAACTGTAAGACAATACTGTGAAGCGTAATCCCAGAAGTCTATAGCTGATAACAATACACCATACATGTAACATACACGCAGATAGACAAACTATACTGAGCGCTTACGATCTTCTGGCTGTTTGTACCGCTGGAGTAAAGTTTTCCTGTCGCCCTGTGAACTCAATCCGCGTTGCTGGAGCTCAATTCTTAGCATATCATTGGATAAAGACTCGGGCAGAACACACGGTTTATCACTCACAAGTTTCTGCAGCAAGGAGAGACAAACATCCCGTGGAACTTTTTTGAAGCATTTACCAACTGAATAGGACCATTTCCAAACAGTCTACTTATTGAACTTGAAACTTTTGCTGCAACAGATTTAAGTTCGTGAACAAGTGGGATCACTGAACTTACGACGATTGTCTTGAGGACGGTCAGCAAGTCATCTGAAGTCTCCTCCAGTCCAAGCCTACGGGCAAATGCCAAGATGGCTCCAATCTTCAAGTTCCTTAATGTGAAGTTCTTGAACGGAGAGCCTGAACCAATTGTTTGTTTGGGGAGACCAAGTGCTTCCTCAGTCTGTTCTTTTTTGCCTTCATCCAAAGGAACATTGAAAGAACAATGCATATCACAAACTTACATTCATTAGACAACACATTTCACATTGGGTAGTTTTCAATAAATAAAGGGTGACATTCTTGACCTTGGTAATATTTGAATATTGTTATGTAACATTATCTAGAGTGATAAACTCGTAATGAAGCCTATTTGCTCTATTGACCTTGCGATATTGCTTGATTAAGGGAGGATGTCCGCTCGGGAGGTCTCCTGCTGGGGTCAGGTCTGTCGGTGTTAGTGTCAGGGGAAGACTTGCGCTCTGGGCTGGTGTCCTTTGTCTCCCCATCCTTTTCATCACTTCCAAGTAGACTACCTTCCTTAACGGTCTTACCCTGGTAACACGTAACAAATATTATGACCCTGTCATTCAAAACCTGTTCTTAGGCTTATACTTTCTCATCACAGAATTATTCGGTAGCGTTGATTGCAAGCGCAAAATTCATGCGCGGCTGGCAAAGCTGTGAGTTAATTCTCGACTTACCAGCCACACAAGCTTGTAATCGTCACAGACTTGAGTCCACTTGGGCAACGTCAACGGTCTCTTGGCGAGGTAGCTGCTGGGGTCCACATACCCGTCCTTAGCGGCCAGATCAGCGGCTGACGGATCGTCGTCAAGAGCACCGTCCAAAATGGACGCAAGACGGTTTGGCTTAGACTTCTTCATGGACATGTGAATGTAGTTGGACGGTCTGCAGGTTGGGGACCGCCCGACTGTACCGATGACTGTTCCAGCAATCACCTTTCAAAGGGCATAAGACCATTAGAAAACGGTGAAGAAAGTGTTATAAAAATAATGCCACACCTTCACCTGAAACTGTTGCAACCTGTATGCATCATCATTATCTTTGGATTTTCTATTTATGTGGTTTATCATTTTAATGAGACCCTTTCAGAATTGTATACAGCAGATACACTTGGTGAAGTTTTAATTGCTTAAAATCTTCACTCCCTGAGACCCTGTTTAATATTCGCTAAATTCTGTGGATATTCACTCAGAATATACGCCATTGGCTCGACCGTGTTCAATGTCTTTATTATACAGAGCGTTTGAACAAATGAAGAAATCATGACTGAATTCTACTGTGTTTACTCTGTAATTAACAGATTAGAAACAAAATTGAACAGTTTTATGAGATACCATATCATGATATATAATCTCAGTGAAAAGATTATTCCTGTGCAAGGTGTTTTCCGAATAAATTTTTTGAAGACAATCTCAAAGATATAATTTTGACAGTGTGAGCTGTTCTTTGAATATACTTTTCAAAAGAAAATATTTAATAGTACCCTATACAGCTATCACAACACTTAATAAAGTGATGTAGTATATGCTGTAAATTTGAATGGGATTCCAGTTAAATAGTAGCAAGCTACGTACATTTACTCCTTCATGTTCGGAGACAGTGCGATTGGGTTCAACATTGTCAATGAATATCTTGATGTTCCGGAAGGCACCACCACCAGCGAGAAGAGTCACCTGGTTGGATTTGCCGGCACTCCTGAAAAGGAGGCCAGAAAACGGTGCAACCAACTGCAGGCAGAAAATTTGTAAGCCGTTACAGGGTTGAATAAGTTTTCTATTGTCAAAACTGCACTTCATTAAACATTTGTAAAACAGCTTAGGTCTTCGGCAGGATTTTAATTTTAAAGATTTTAAAAAGTTTACTTTAAATACACAAATTTCATTAACGCTGGGCAACTTTTTGCCTAACGTTGGCTACCAGGTGAATCGCCTAAATCTTGGGCAAACAGATTAACCAACTGCGTTGATTCTCTTCTGAACTATGGGAAAACATCTGTCATTTTACCCGACGGTTGTAGACAATGTTTTTGTACGGCCACTTTTTTACCCAGTGTTATGCAATCATTGCCGAAGAGTTAAGCGTTTCACCTGGTACCCAAGGGTAGGCACAAAAAGCATCCAGCGTTTTTACAGGGAATGTAAAGGGGTGTTTTAGGTGTTATGTAACAACAATTAGCACAAATGCATGATTTAAGTAATATACAACGACCCAGGTTTTAAAAAAAAATGCTAAAACCCTTCCGACGTAGATATAAAAGCTAGCCTTGGTTCCTGGTGAAATTTCCAGATCTACACCCTGGTCCTCATATCGTCCATCTGAGTCCGTTGGGTAGAATCCTCCCGACGCACACGCCCCTGATCCAGGCTCTCTGTATTTCCTGGGAAATCTCTCATGAGCCTTAGGCCCGAACAGTTTCATGACAAGAGCTTGAGACTTTTGGTATCTAAAGGGAAAAATTCAAACACCGTGGTAATGTGCTATACGAAGGTCACAGTTCTGTCAGTTTAAAACCCACGAGAACTTACTCGTACCCAGGGTCTTCCAGTTGTTACAGTATTTGGAAGCCCAGTTGTGTGCGTGTGTGTGTGTGTGTGAGAGGTATTAGCCGTTTCACATGTTACCACTGGATGTATATTTTCTATAATTTTATGTACTCACCCATCCTTCAGAGTCTGATAGGCTTCTTTGATAGCATCAACAGTGTTGAAGGCGAGATCATAGAGCTCAAAGAAGGGGGCCAAGAGATCCTTAATAGGCTGTATTGGAGCCATCAATTCTTGTAGGATTGACTCAATCTCATCTCGGACCCGTCCCCTGAGAGTGTGCTGTTTGTGAGAGGGGACATTAAATGACTAAAGAAATGACTAAGAGAGAAGCTTGACATGAATCAGGGAATGGAGTAATGCTTTTAAAAATTAAGCTTAGTGGCCAATTTCCCATATAGGAGTTCAAACCCAAGTGGCGAAACTCATTCACTCGTAGAAGCAGTGTCTGTGATGTCAGATTGAGGCTGCTTTAGTAAATAGGTAAATTTTTAGTCATCGCTGCTCATCGAGTAAAAATATAGAACTTTAGCTTGTTGATTACTGAGAAACTGTAGAATTCATGACCATTTCGAAAAACACCAAAATATATTGGAAATGATGGGCAATGTGATGAAAAAATGTCACTGTTTCAGGATTTTTCCGGAAGAATTCTCGTGGTTTCTACTCAGAGTAGAAGCGCAATCTTGAATCTGATCGGCTTAAGAACCATATTGCTCGTCCTACGTCTCGAAATAAACCTGTGGTGATTGTCCACTCACCGAGTCCACAGCACCCCCAGTCAACTTCTTGATGGGATCCGACGAGCTTTCGATCTCATCCACCCAGTCGGTAAGATCTCGTCTGATGTTGCTGAGGTGCTCCCCTAATTCCTTGAGGATGTCACCAATGACCTCGGACAGGTCAAACCAATAAGGCCTCTGACCTGTAAAGGAGGGAGATGAAAGAGCGACACTCCATGATATAATTTTGGCGACAGTTTCAATCAAGGTCCCCCTTCCAAAGGTAGTACCGAAAGCGATTTATAAAAATCATAATTGACACACGCAAAATGTGTGCTTTACCTTCCTTGACGAAATTGGCTTCTTCGACCTTCTTTTTGGCATTGATGATTTCAGTAACTGCCGTTTTAATGCTGATAAATAAAAAAGCAACATCGCAAATTGATGAAAAAGAAGAATGATACAGATGCTCAGTTTTCCTGTTTTGTATCTGTATTTTAGACAAACAAACCAAGGTTTTGGCTTGAAATCTTTGTTTTTTAACGCTTTAAACCTTAAACGAAGGGCCTTAATACATTTGTGATAAAATAGTTCAAAAATGTTTGTTTTTAGGGATAATTTCAAAATATGGCTTTTCCCTTGCGTATGGTTTTTCTAATACAGAGCGTCATTGTTAGAGAGGTTTGTTCAGCTGTAAGAAAGTGTAGATGGATACTGTAGGCCTCACAGAAAGAGTGCAGTATCACGCATTTATTTCTCCTATCGTTTAGCCAATCAAAAATCTTCACTCTTTCCCTTGTTCCCAGATAGAGCTATTACACAATGCAGCCAGACCACATGCAACTTCTAACTGCAAGCTTTCTTGAACATATTTCCTGTTTAATTTTTTAATTATTAAACGTTTACCGCCTAAATTTCTATCCATACAAATATCAACCAAAATCAGCACTCTAAAAGGTACTTAATGACTCCTTTAAAGATATCTCCAATGGCCTTCAGGGGTGATTTGAGCAAATCCCCGATGGAGTCTGCGATCGCAGTGATGGACTTCCAGATTTGCTCTGCGGCCCAGGGCAAGGTGACAGTGATTGCCTCATTGACAGCCTGTGGAAACACAAAACAATGGGAGTGGTTTGCAAATGAGCTCTTCTCCATTGGGAGTATTTGCTACAACCTCAGGACCACTATCTTCCACTTTTTATGCAAAATGTAACTGGTAGCTCCAAGTTGCATTATCATTCAAACGCAAGAATGCTTGGATATCAGGTATGTACTGAAGATTCCTGTATAAGGTTTAATAAGTGACCAGCATTAATTTTATGAACGACATTTAAGATTAAAATAATTCCTTAGCAGTGTCTATGGGTTTGTAATAAATCTTGTGTGTCTTTGTCAACTACCAAAATGGCCGGCTGAATTTGTGAAGAAATATTATCTGACCTGGTAGAATTCCATGACGTCTGTCTTGATGTCGCTAAACAGCTGAGTAGCCTTATTGACAACATTGATGACGCCTCTGAAGGAAGGTGGGAGCTGGTCTGGGTCAAACTGAGCCAGTCGGGATACGGCCCTGGTAGCCACTGATCTCAAATTCTGTGTACAGGAATTATTACGATGGAAAATGGTTCAAGCCATATTCGGTCCACAACGGCAAAGCCCTATTTCACATTAGATGAGATCACATCGTTAGACCAGCACTTCGACGAGTACCAACATATTTCCCCAAACTGAGTATCTGTGGACAGTGGAATAACCAGGCGCTAGGCATTCAGTTCACTTCAGTTATTTGTCCCCAAATAACTATCAGGTTGTTTAATTAACTGGCAGCAGTTCCAATGGAACCAATTAACCTTTTAAGAGAAAAATCTTGAACTAAGCTAAATCTCCGATTCCTATTAATTTTCTACTGACTAACCGCGACGTTTTGGGGAATATCCTCAAGTGCCTGAACAAAGTCGTCGAATAGCTGACCAATGCTGAGGTCGCCGTTGAAGAGCCCAACGACAATATCAACCGCTCTCCTGATGTTTCCAACCACTTGTCCAATGATAAGGTCGTATGCTTTTACAAAGTCGCTGATGCGCTCCACACCGAATTCCTGAATGAGGAAAGGGAAGATCCAAATTTTATTGTATGGTCACCCATGACATAAATCCTCAGAGTTGGGTTTTTAACAATTATGTTGACAACAGTAAAAAGAGGAGTGTTCATAACCCGATTGGACGATCACACTTCTGTAGATTCTGTACAAGAGCGATGCTTATTGCAGATACATCTTGCAGTGTCTACGTACTTATATTATTCAAATTCAGATGAAGAGAAAATCAAATCGAATCAAGTCAACTATTGAAATTCAAACTGATGTACATGAATATGCTACAAAGTAAGCAATGTATTATGTTCCAGGTGAGAATCAGCAAAGATTTAAAAGTAACAGACAGAGATGGGTACATTCTGTATGAAAAGTTGTAGATAATTTCATATTTGAAATAAATACAGAGAAAGAAAAGATGGTGCACAAGTGACAAACAAGGTTTACCTGTAGTATGTTGAGATTATATTCAACATAGCCATTGAAGCAGAAACGGGCTCGGACAACATCCACCGACAAACCAAGAAGTCCGATCACAACTGTAGCATAAGCCTCATCTAAAAGATCCACAACGAGGTGGCCAGTCAGAGGGGCTGTCCAAAAAAAAAAAACAGAACCCAGGCTAAAGTTTTCAGGCTGAGTTCTTGTTTCATTTCTCAACAGTTTCTCCATTACACAGAAAAGGGCTAAATGGAACTAAAAATGGAAAATGCACGGCCTGAAATAAATCGTATTTTCTGAGAAGTCTGGGATACATACAAATCTTCATGTCGAGTTCATTTCTGATGGTCAAACCAAACTCTGCCCCAACTGTACTTCGGCTGCCGATGGTCTTCTTCCAGTTAACTGAAGGACTGGCCAATTTAAACTCAATGCCCTCCCAGAAACCCCGTCTCAAACGACGCCTGGAGGGAACACTTAATCCGGTGGTTGATGAATCAGAGGAATTAGCAAGAGCATACCTTAAAGAGAAACAAAAAAAACAGTGCACGTTTATCGCAGATTAAAACACACTTCAAGGTAATTATGATTAAGGCTGGTGTTTCGGTACCTGTGGTATTACAACGGTTTAGTTTAGGTATACAGTAACAATTACAGTAGAAGAAAGGCCTTCAACGGCCAAGTGTCCAGAGAATCTTTGCCAATTTGTAGCAGAAACTTTAAATTTCAATCTGTTCACTTTACTGTAATGGCCCAATTCATAAAGAAAAATGTTTGTCCAGAATAGCCTTAAGCTTGGCCACGAGACTCACACTTTCAAAGGTAAAGTACCCGCAGATAAAATGTTCCTCTTTCACTGGGCCCCGGAGATAATTCACAGTGGCAACGATATTTTCGAGATTGAAAGAACAACAGCAAATGACTTCAGTTTGAACTTAGCTTTGGGGCACCCTGATATGGCTACGAAAATGCACACGTGCTATCAGGTTCTTGAACTTTGGACCTATGATGTGCTTAGATTTTAAGCACACACAGCTTAATACTGAACTCTTTATTGGGACCAATTTCATACAGCTGCTTAAGCACAAAATTCGCTTAAGCGGGAAAACTTTGCCCATAAAACAAAGTTACCAGCTCAAACTCTATCTGATCGTGATGCTAACCAAAAAAATAAAAAATACAATCCCAAAACAAAATATATCAAATGGAGTTTTGGTTGGTTACCATATTTATTAAGCAAGGATTTTTTTGCGCTTCAGCGATTTTGTGCTGAGGCAGCTCTATGAAATTGTCCCCTGATTCTAATTCTCACTCTTCAGGGGTGACAAACTTGAAGGCGTTATGGTAGCCACCGTTTGGGTGGTTCTTGTAGAGCAGGGATGCCACGTATCTGACGTGTTCATCCTCGTCTCCATCCAAAGCAGATTTAAGGAGTATCCCAGCAGCCTAAGTAGGCCAAAGAGAAGGAAAATTAATTTCTAGTGGCTCAACATGGGGAGCATCGTTACGTAGCAGCCAGTTTGATATTCCAAAAGCGCATGCTCAGCACTGGGCTATTGGGGAATAGCTTCGCGCTTGCTTGATACTCTGTCCTATCAGCGTAGCCATACGCTTTGTTCCCAAAAGACCAAGCATTTTGAAATAACAAACTGGCTCACAGAGACTTTTGCCATGCCCTGTTTATTGTGTGCATGGAGTTTACTGGCCTGTATGGAGAGCTTTGCACTGGTACCGGGGGGTCTACAGCAAAATAACATTGAAGTCATATTGTGCCCCGACTTTTCTGTTTGTTACAGCATGGTAAGGGGTCATTTGTTCATGGGACTGCCATTTGAAATTTGTCAAGTAAGAAAAGAAATATACTTTTTAATAGCAACATCCCGCAAGACTGTGAACATGGTTTAAATTTCCAGCGTACATTCTTTGTATAGTCTTTGACTATTTACTTTCCATTTTTCCATTTACTTTCTCAATGAAAAAGTCCATTTCTGAATGGTTACTTAACACACTGCCTCGATTTGTAACTTTCAAGATGTATTTCTTTGCGTTGGGGAGATGTTAATTTACATAAAGGGTTTCTCCCTTACTCAACATATATATTGATAAACAGTGTATGCTCAGTGCTTGCCCGAAAGCTTGCAAAAAAATTCAGAAGCTCACTCGGGTGGGACTCGAACCCACGACCTCCTGCTTACTAGAGCAGACGTCTTAACCACTCGACCACCGAGCTTGCCGGGGGGGGGTGGCTGGCCGACCCCGGCAAGCTCAAGCACTGAGCATACAGTGTTTATCAATATATACGTTGGGTAAGGGCAAAACCCGTGATATAAATTAACTTTAATGTTTGTTTTGTCCTTGGAAAATGCAGTTTTTGCACAGTTGGCAGTAAAAACATTAGCAGGGCACATAATTGTATGAATTATTTTATTATGTTAATTGTTCCTGACATGCTTCAATTGTGAATCATTACACCTCGCTTACAGTGTTACGTAGTCATATTGAGTGCTTGGCTATATAGTGAAATTTTTCAACAAGAAAATCACTGAGTTACTGTGTCATGATGGTAGTCTCTCATGGAGTGCAGACTGGCCCTTTTCAGCATTGGATGGGTGGTGCTGGAGTTGGTATAACTCTCTATGTGAGGAAAGGAGCGATGGAGCCCGGCATTGCCCAGGGCTTCAATCAAGACGACCGTGTCGTGATGAAGCTTGTCTTGTTCATCCTTACTAAGAGATGCCACAGTCTCCTCGTAAGCCCAGGGATCTGGAATTTGGCAAAAATTGTGCAGCGAATAAGCTGTTTTAGGCTGTTTTGCGGTGTTGTTTGCCTTACCATCTATTCATTTGCAAAACGTGCAGGAAATAACAGACTAAATGATGAACTGTTACCATAAAAATCGTTGTGCCATTAATCTGTAGTTTTTATATAAAGCTATTGAAACACATGACGGTTAGCAGGCGCCTAAACCTGGAAGTGGGGATGGGGGTACATACGCCCCACACTTTTTTCAGGTGGAGGATGGGCTACTGAATCACCCCCTGTCACACATACTCTTTTGGTGATGAACAAAAAATTAAGGTGATTGTGAAGAATTTACAGGATTTTCTAACGACTAAACTGTTTGCAATATCACTGAAGCGGGAAAGCAACTTTAAAAAGCCATAACATACCACTCTGATGTAAGATTCTGCATGAATTTGATACACAGTAAAGAAGTACATCTTTGTCATGAACATCGCCCCCTATAAAGTGTATACGAAGTGCCCCCTTGCAAATTTTGCTTGGCCAGCTGTTTCATCCCAACCCACGTTTCCCCATTCCCCAATTTTCAACACAAATTTATACCACTGACGGTTAAAGATGAAGCTTACCTACGGTAAAACATTAGAATGACGCTGTACTGAATGACAGTGAAATGATGTGCTAGCTAAAAATCTTTACGTACCATGCACACCCAGTTTATCCTCAATCTTCACAACGATGGACTCTGCTTGGGCTTTGTGTCCGGCCCGCCATCGATGACCAGCTAAAGCGCCGAGTACCAGCACAGCAACTCTTTGTATCTCAGGGTCTCTTAGAGATTCTACGACAGAGGTGATTCAAATTTACATTTTGCAGTTACTATGATGAGATGCTAATTGTGGCTGCGAGATAAAATAACTTAAAAATCCAATGGGAATTTATTCTTGCCAAAACTGAATGGATGAATACATTTATTCTTGTTTCTTATCCTCTTTGTAAAAAATGCTACATGAAATCTACAATAACACATTATTAAGTGATAAATTTAATTATTCTCAGATTTCTTAGTGGTAGTTTATGTTATGAACTTGTATAGATTTATTTCCTTTGAGTAGGCCATAGCTGTAAAACTTGAAGTAGTATTTCCCGTTATCTATATTTACGCATGTGTCATGATTGTTATATGTGTTTACTGCTGCATGGAATTACATTGCAAACTTAGGCACTTCAGGATCTTGACCTGACTACTACTGGCAAATCAACTGTGGAGCTGTCAAGCTATCTCACGAATAAGCAATTAACTTTAGCAGAGCTGTTCCTGCAATCAAGGTGGTTGTGTAAGGCAAGTCAAGACTTTGCAGTCAGTGACCAGGGACGACCTCTCTGTGTCAAATGTGTCTGATCTACGTATATTAAATGTAACAATTTTTATCCTTTGCTTTGTGTGGATAGTGATATTATACAAAGTCAGATTCTGTGCCACACAAAATGACGAGAAATTTGTAAGAAATTTGGAGAAGGGAAGCAGGGTTGCGGGTTTGGTAAGGAACCTTTGAAGTTCTATGAACTACATGAAAATGGCGAAGTTCGCTTCTACTCAGGTGATAGGTAGTGTAATTAATTAACGTAATATTTGTTAACAAGATTGTCAATTTAGAAATTTGGGAAAAACACAAGAGGACAAATTGGATCCATGATGTTTCTGTGGCAGACTCAGTTAACCATTCAGCTGAAAGGGATTTCGACCAATGGTGGCTTTAGACTGGTAAACATTCAACCGATGAGACGGCTTCTGATGTGTGAGTGGCTCGCACAGGAAAAGGAAATAGTTCTACTTGGCATCTTATTTTGTTGGGGCACTTTATAATTTGAAATCTGAAAACCACAACAATAAAGAAAACAGCCCTGGCAAGAGCTATGAAGTTAACTTTGTGTTTCCGTATGCATTCATTTGAGTCTGAGAAGTTTTACTTGTGGATAAGAAGATCATGCGAACATTCAAAAGGCACTGACCAATGGGTGTGAGGGTTTAGGTGTTCGCTACTGAGATCTCTTCAGATTCCTATGGAAACCTTGGTTTTGACGCATGCCTTATTACCAGATTTAATTTAATTTCGAGCCGAATATTTGGATTGATATTAATACGGGGCTTAAACCGGGAGCAGTTTTTTACCCCAAGCTTTGAATCAAACACAAACACTACCAGAATTGATGTCTGATCAATCATAAATCTTGCAAATATACACTTATGATATGACAAAAATCACTGAAATCATCTTTTCAGACAAGGTCTCAAATCGCACAAAAAAAGAAAACGAAACGCACATTTAAATTTGTAACACTCACCAGGGAATGTTTGTGGTTTGAAGACAATATCTTCAACAGTCTCTAGAAAATACTGAAAAATAATGTGTCGCTGTTAAAACATTTGTAATAAAAATATGTAGCTTATTCATAAAAGTGAGTCTCTTATAAACAAAATGCCTATAAATAGTAAGAATCTCTTTAAAAAACAGCTTCAGAGATATAGAAGTCCATAAAAATACCCCAGAAATTGCGTGGTTAAAGCCAACTGAGGCAACGAGTAGTCTCTCTACAAGCTCCTTGTCCGGTCTTGGAGATAGAAGGATGAGATCAGTGAGGAGTGACTGAGATTTATCAGTGTGCATCGCGGCAACCGCATCCAACATGTACAGTCTGTCCTGCTTTTCCCGGACACGCCTGCGGAGGGAAACGTATAACATTTCATATTTGACCAAAATCCTGTAAACCTTAGTAACACACATTACTTGTCTTGTAAGTACTGGAGCTATGACTTTTAAGCCTTCACTAATTTTGAGAATTGAAAAATGTAAAAACAAGAGTCAAATCGTATAAGCCTCACTTTTCACCAATCTATACCCTCTTTTTAAAAGAAGAATTAAAAATTTTACTCAAGGCCTACATGTAAATATTAGTAAACCAAACAACTCTATCTGTGAGTCCTTGTATAAGAACTTGTCATTTGTACAAGAATCTAATCCCTGCCGGAAGTTGAAACGATATACAGCTCTGGTGAGTCTTTTTACCTGGACAGTGGTGGCTTGTACATAGGGGTCATAACCTCAGCCAGTTTCTCTCCGTCAGGCACTGAGTTCAGGGCTTGTACAAGCTTCTGGAAACAGTGGCTTTGTTCATTAGAGCCTGGTTGAAAAAAAAAAAGGAAATGCACTCTGGTCATATTTTCTCTCCTTAACCCCACAGGCACGCTGTCCTGGTTTTTCACTGAGCCTGCAACATTGTTTTGTGGAGTCTTGTTCAGTTTTAATTCATGGACATCTTTACGGGTAAGACTTGGGTCTGCGCAAGCGTAAAGTTTTTTTCGGGAAGGTTGGCCATTGCATGGTTAGCCATGAACAGTTAGTCAGGCTTAAGATCCCGCGGGATATGGATTTTATACATCCCCATCTTTTTGTGATTCAAATAAGATGCATTTTGAGAATTTTTTCAGATTTCCCAGCAACAAACATTTATTTGCACCGAAAAAAGGGAGAAAAATAATAAAGAATATATAAATACGCCATTTTGATGTACGGTTCAGGGGTGTAATTACGTTTATACATAATAAGGATGTCCATATGCATCGTAAACAGCGCCCCCTTTATTGTCATTATTATCAATTTAATTGGACCTGGTAGCCTTTTCAGTTATTTGACTGGTAAAATCATATTACCTTTCTCATATTATTCTTTAAGAGCTACATGGCTGGGCAATGTTTGATTCATATCATCCACCATCCCCCTTTTCGCCAGCGCATATTTAACACCGCTGCGATTACCACCAAGTTTGCAGATCTTAAGCATCTTCCTGGTAATGGTCTTTATACCCAAACTGCATACTCTCGGGTTTCAGTTTTGAATAGTTTTGTAATTGTGAATCACAATAAATTTCTCTCAGTCTCAAAACATGAGGCAAAACAAATTTGTATTTCTTTTTGCAATTGTTTACATCAAAAAGCTGGTTTTCCCATTTAAAATGTTTTTGAAAGCTCGATAAGGTTTTGAGCGAGAGGCACCCCAAATGATGGATGCAGGTCGGACACGCGGGACGGTTACCATCTTTATGGTTCTTTTATACTGGCTTTTTTATTTATGTAGTTCAGACACCCTTCTTTCTGTCTACACTGGCCACCTTACCGGCCAGAAGTGCTGTTCTCATGCAGGTCAGGTTGCCAGCGATCTGCTCCTTCAAAGATGTCATGTTGAAGCCCAGATGATCGTCTTCAAGCTACAAGAACAGAGTGAGATAGTCAGACACTTTCAGGGCTGCTACTCCCAAGGTATGTGTTAACCTACTCTCAAATCTGGAACGAATTGGATCTTTGACTGCCATTGTGCCAGACAACCTTTTCTCAGTCTAAAACAGTTTGCTCTCCCAAGTGGATGCATTCAAAGCGAAGCTTGGAGGGTTCGGGGTTGAAAACATTCCCCAAACTCTCACGATGAAATTCATTACGTAAAGACAAGTTAAGCGTATGGTCCCTTGACTTGGGTCTTGTTGAAATTTTACATGTGCAAACGACCTAGAAGGCCTTTGCCTTCTGACATCAATTCCATCCCGTCCATCTACTCATCCGTCTTGACACTGGCGATTTCCAAGTCTTCGTTATTTGCATGAGCCGCCAAAGATACCCAAAGAGAATTTAATTTTCATGCTGAAAAGTTTTAAACCCCTTGATTTTTTTACCTTCTGCATCTGTATTGAGTCTGTCACGAGGTCCTCATCATCCGGTGGTCCAGTGGGTGATGGGTAGTGTACCTTTTGTACAAACTTCAGCTGGCCTTCTGAAAATGTCTGCATCTCTGGAAGCACTGAGCAACATTAAAAAACAGCAATGTAATCCGATTTTAATTAGATTGCTCTGCAAACCAGGCAACAGAAATAAATATCCTTACAATTCTTTTGTGTACAAATTAAAAACCTGACTTGATTTTGTGCCTTAGTTATGCCTGAATTGGTAGTAGGTGCACCATGTCTCTCAAAAAAGCTTTTGGTCAGAGGGCAAAACAGGTCAGGAATCAGACATTTGTCTTTTTTTTTCCTCTGGCAAACATAAAATTAAACAATTATTTGCAAAATAAACAACATTCTGTGGCTTCAATCTATTACCCAGATCAAAAGCATCTTCTCTTTAATTAAAGCAGTTTCCTTGGATGAACATACCGATTCAACAGGTCGTCAAATATAGGTCTTGAAATACCAAATTAAATTGAGAATTAAAAGGGCAAATTACCAATATCGTCCTCTGCTTGCTCATACTTGTGCTGAAATCTGTCAAGCAAAAAACATATTTGCAACATTAAAAACAAAATTTTGGAATGACCATTAGCAATTTCATTCAATAAAAGGCAGAGGAAACACAGAGTGCGCGCCCAGGCAAGACCGGCGCAGGAGTTTCTGAACACTCGTGCGACAGGTGCAGATGATGTCGCCAACTGATCTTCTAATCTGCCCTTCATTTGTGTAAGTGGTATTTAGGTCCCCACAGTGCTGCTCAAGCTATTCACTGAATCTAAACTGCCCCCTCCTTTGCAAATGATGAAAAAGGTAGACGTTGACTGTGTGCAAACCCAAGAGGCTCTAAGAATGAAACACCTGGCCGAACACATAACTCAAATCTACAAGTTATTCTAGTCTGGATTAAAAACAACAGGCAGCTTTCTACTTACACACGTGAGTTTTAAACTGAATGGATAAAGATGCTACAGAAAAGTACCGGATAACGTAGCCTTTTATAGTCGCGTGGCCATGGACACAAAATTACCAACTCATCTTTGAGAGCGACATACTCTTGGAATGTAACGGATGCGAACATAAAAGACGCATTATGCGAGCCAGAATACCAAAATCAATAGTGCCACTTGACAGGACATCAACATACAGTTACATCAAAGTATTCTTTATATTCAAACAACAGGCAACGCTTAACGCTGACAATGTTATCTGGTAATTTCCGCAAATATAGGGCAAATTCTTTGTCAGAATTTGAATGTGCAGATGGGAGAGGCACGTGGCCAGTCAATACACGAAATGTCAATCAAGAAAACAGGTAGGTATTTTCCAATCGACTTTCTTTGAATAGACAGGAAGTGCAGGAAACAGAAGAGAAGTAAAAAACGACAATCAGGGAAGCGCACTGACAGTACTCAGTGTTGTCCAAAGGGGCAAGCCCGATCCGGAATATTTTTGGAGGGGGGGGCAAGTAAACAGCGTCCCCAGTGCACATTTGTATTAAAGGATCTCCCGATATCACAACTAAACAGCTGCCTAAAAACAATTTCCTGAACAAAAATGGCTCTGCCTATACAAAGAAACCTTCATTTAAGACAGTTATATCTTCATTCTGACGAATTGACAAAACACACAAATTTTGTTTAACTTTTAATTTTAATTTGACTGATATGAGTTCCTTATTTTGCTCATTTGATACAAAAGTCCTCAGATTCGTAGCCCGAACGTTCGATAACCTGGAAATTCATTCGTCCGAAGTTGCTCGAAAGCTCAAAAGTCCCAGTTCAAGGAAAACGTTTCATTGTTCCAATGTTCAGCATGCAAGTTTCAGGAGTCTGAACTTTGTTTCGACCCACTTATTTTATTTTCAAACAGCTGAAAAACTGGAACTGTGGGGCCTACTTTCTTGTGGGACGTTGTGTCTTAAAATTACTTAACCTTATTCTGTATTCGGATTAATGTATTCTTCAGTCTATTGAATCGTAGGGCAATCGTACAACCACGGGCAAAGATGTCTAATAAAAATTGGAGAAGTAAAAGGTAACCGACCCAGCTGCCGATTCCCGTGGGGCATCGAAGCGGTCCAGTATCTTTACCATCGATGGGAGCTCCATAGCTGGATGATAGTGGATCTCCTGAACATATGAGAGAACAAAATGAGTGAAGACACACGGCCTAATAAACTGACTTTAGTTAAGATCACTTTTCATTGATTACAGTCCAACCAACGGATTCTGACCACTCAACTCCAGTACCTCCAGTAAATAGGAGCAGGCAGAAGAAAAACTTAAGATAATGTTCCCTGACCATGGAATCTTCCCAAGTGCATATTAAACACTCCATTGAACCAAATATGGCTCTGCCCTCGCACAACACATGACCATATTTTTTTGTCGATAATTTGTTTTGCTAGATTCCTTTTCAGTTATTCAAATTACTCTCTATGTCAAGAATTGTACCCAGTTAAAGGTAAAAAGGGAAGCTAAAACGGTAAAACGGCGCAAACGAAGTATTTCAACAAAGCGCTGTACAAAAGCCGCCGTTCAACTCTTTATTTTTTAACGTAACAAAGGAAGTTGAGTTTCTTTTCTTATTTATATTTCTGCTTCGTCCGAGGCTTGACGCAATGCCGACTGGGAAAACAACTTTGCTGTTCAGTCAAAGCGACAAATTTTTTTTGCAACATGTAGGCCTAAGTTCTGGCTTTTACTCTATACCTTTTGATGTGTGGATTTTCCGTAAGGTATTGGGTGAGTACGTCTAGTCTTGGTGAAGACAATGATGCCATCATTGCCTGGTGCCATCTGAGCGGTGTAAGACGCCTCGTGGTTACCTTCGTGACCGGTCTCATTGCAGTCGTAACTCCATCCACTGGCCTTCAACTTGTAAATACGGGGGAGGGGTATTAGTCATGAAGAATGTGGCAAATTAAATTTAACTGACACAGGGAAGTACAACGAACGCTAGTCTACATGTTACAATGAAGCAAGGACGGGTGCAGAGTAAAGTTACCATGGATTTGATATTCGTGCAGGCTGAGCCCCTTGTCTCTTAAGAGTTTCGTCATTACCTGTTCAAAAACTACTTTCTGTCTTTTGAGTTACTATACGCATTACTGTATAAACAGACACAGTGCCTGGCTAGAAATCGACACTGGACACAAGACAGAGTTCACATCCCCTGGTAGAATCTTAAGGGCATTCTAACTCCGTGTGACCATTGCCTGAGCAAGATGTCTAAGGATCAGCACGTGTGCCCATAGCTTACCATTGAACTTGGTCATAGCTTTGAGTACTACCGAAAAAATAGTATGCAGTTGTTGTGTTTTGGGCTGTACAAGACAAAGTGCAGATTACAAAGAGAAAGGGATCTGGTTCTTCAGATTTCCCAAGTGTAGACAGCAGCAAATCGAATGGGTCTATGAACAGGTGTTTTTACAAATGCACTGGTTGGCTCCAAGAACACTAACAATGTAGTTTATACTACTTAAGATGGAAGCGGACCCCACTAAGAAACGCCAATCTCGTGCACACAGCAAAAATTACGATTATAAAGTCCTTTCACAAAGTACTAAAAATTCCACTTTAGCCGTAGGCCTATCCCCTTTGAGTGATCCCTGTTCACCACTTCCTAGGTTGTATCGTGTTATTGGTGCGGGATCCCTGGCCTCGTGGTGTTGAAGGTTTTATTTAGTCTGACATGCTAGAGCCCCCCCCCGAACACAGATATTGACAAACGCGAAGAAACACCAACACAGGGCTGGATAGTTCAGTTGGTAGAGCACTGATACGGTGTTCCACCTGAGGTCGCAGGTTCCAATCCCCCTCCAGTCAATTTTTTATATTTATACTGAATTAGAAGCTCATAGCAAACACGACTTAGTGGGATTTTTGAGGAAACAACAGAAAACCTAAGAGAAAATGATCATCATAGTCGCACCCCTGCACATTTTCGATGGCCCGCTCACACTTCTTGTCACCAAGGCTATTTGTGCGCATGCGTTCATAATTATGAATTTATTAGTGAAAAGGTCTATTCCTGAGAGAAGTTCTTGGAGTCAATGAACTCAGTTCTGAGACCACAAAGGCTATCAGTACGTTACTATTTCACACGAGAAGACAATCGTACTGACTGGTTAAAAAGCTCAAAGAAAAGCGTCATAGAAGCAAAGTTTCTAAAGTACTAAAATGAGCTGTTATACCCATTCTGAGTTTGTAATTCCTTCGTACCTTGCCTTGTGGGGAATGTTGCATGTTACCAGCTAGCAGGCTAACCAGACCTTTTTTGACCATTATCACATGGCCGTTTTCATCACGAGGGTAGTACACCTGACCAATCGCTCCGTTCTCGCTGATGTCAAAGGAAAACCTACCAAGAAATATTTTGGTTAAGAAGTAACTTCGATAACCATCCTTTCCATCCGTTAAAACTAAAAAGCAATCAATACACAAGAGACAGCTAAACTCGAAGTGTACTTTAAGATCCCTTTCCAGGTTTTCTTTTTTTCAACCCTTCAAAAGGATAATTTCACAGTTCACTATTTATAACATTAACTCTCGAAAAAGGCAATCCCTCGAGTAGTCTGTTGGAAAAAGTTAATGTGGGGATCCTCATTTTGCGTATTAATTACTCTCGGGGGTTGAGCCTGAGAGGGCGCCCTTTCAAACTTGCCTCTTCTCCTTTCCACCGGGAGTACACGGGCTGGCCGAAACAGTACGGGTTACCATTTCAGCCCAGTGCAGTTGGCCACACCACACTTACCTATAACTGCAACCCCACAAGTGTTGGGGATATTTTAATAAAGGGACACGAAAAGAAATAAATAAACAAGATCAGGAAGTCTGTTTCGTCCCTTATTTATTCCTGAGAATTCTCTCACCGGAGGACACACGTCCTCCACCCTGAAGGGGATTATACAGCTCCTTCCCTGGCGTTCCTCGCAAGCTTCCAAGCTTACATGAAATCATAACAAAAACGAGGCCTTTTCAAGAAATTTCTTTCTGCATAATCACTCTGCCTAGGAACTTCACTCGATTTGTTCTTTGCGTTGGTCTCTTCCTTTCAGAAGCAGCAGACGTGTCGTATATCCAATTTGTTATTACAGGGGCGATTTTATTCAATGCAGCAAGTTTTCCAATGAGCATTAGACCTTTGGAGAGGCTTTCGTTTTGCTTGAACCCATTTCGAAATAGTCGTGTGATTGAAACCGCAGCCGGAAATTTGTCCTCAAGTTGCCCATAATGAATTCCGCTCACATTGTTCACTTATTCGTCCTCCAAGCTTCCTCATCAGCGTTCAACAACCTCTATTGAATGTAAATACGATCTTACAACTATTATTTGTTCCATCACGCACACATTTAACCCAATGCGGCCCCCCACCAAGTTTTCGGTTGTTCCCTTGGTTACCTGCCGAGTGACGCTGTTGGTCCTGCTTTCAAAATGCAATAGCAACCGTTCCTACAGTACTTTTATAAAGGTCTACACTATGAGGTAATTAGATCGACTAAGAAACAAATCTCCCCCGCTGAAATCCAGGGACAGACTTTTAATCTTTGCTAACTGTGAGTTGTTATACATGCCACATGATCCCAGTGCAACCCAAACTTACACTTGGATCTGATTTTGTGTAGGTGGAGGTGTTTGAAATTGCAGATCAAAACCTTTGCTGATTCAACTGCCGAGTATCATCTTGCGAGGTTTCAGGGGACGCAGTGCTTGCGGCACAATTTGAGGCAGGTTGTTAATGAGTACCTCTGCATTTTGGAGTCCTCTAAGTTGCTCTTTTAATTGGTATTCCCTTAATTTCTGGTCAGCTATTGAATCACGGTTTACATAAAAAAACTCACTAAGAAACTTACCACTCGCCAAAGTCTCTTTCCTCGTTCAGAAGCACTGCAAAAAACATTAAATGCAGTACGGTAAAATGGGACAAGATGTGTGAGAATCTGCACTGAACTAATCAAATCAGTATTTGCACCAATAACCTCTCAGATTTGTACTTAATTAGCCTGGTTTATAGGCCATTCGGTCAGTTGGTCAGTCTGGCATGTGGCTGATTGGTCAGGCAAACAGTTTTTAGCAAGACGAAACTGTGTTTTTTAATCAGGTTGTCTGAGTATTTGCAAGGCATCGCCAGAGATCCCTGTAATGGAACATTCAAATGAGAAACTTGTAATCGTCTTGGGTCTTTGACCACTAAAAGTAAAAAGGAAAATTACATATAACAGGTTTTGCCCTTACCCAACGTATATTAACAAGCACAAAATGCTCAGTGCTTGTCCGAGAGCTTACAAAAATAAAAAAAACCTCATAAGCTTACTCGGATGGGACTCGAACCCACGGCCTCCTACTCACTGGTGCAAAAGGAAAACACTTTCCGTGTGCGTGTCACTTTTTTAAATTAATGGCTCGGCTTCTTTATTCTACGTGGGAGACTTTTCAGAGGAAATTTTCAATGAAGCATTCTGTTTCTTTCGGCGTCTTCACAATATTGTGGTAAGTTGTAATCGGACAAGCAACCATTCGTTTTGTTGGATGTAGACTTTTGATCGAGGGTGTCTGTGTTAAGTTCGGGGAAGTTTACTTTGGCGTGATTGCTTTCGACTGAGTTACTGTTTGTATATAGTGTTATCATGACGACGCGTAAACAGCCTGTGGACACAATACCCTGGCACCAGTGAGTAAAGTTTCTGTCATTTTTCACACAAAGCTATCTTTGAATGATGTTGAATATCCGCCGAACTCTATGATATGCAAGTACGTGATTAAGTTGAGCATTTCCATTCACGTCCATATAAAACCTCTGTTACCCTTTGAATAGGACTTGATTGCCTGGAAATGGTACACAATGAACTTCTAAATACACCGGAGGTGGACGCACCTTTCAGACATGTGAAAGCGAACCCAACAGAAAAAAAAAATAAATACCTCTTTCTTCTTTGCTGGCTACAACTGCAGAGTAAATTCGCAGGTATATTTCTTGGCTCCCACTACTCTCATTAGTTTTGACCAATAAGAGTCCAATCTATGATAAAGTGATAAAAATTTGCCAAATACATTCTGATTTGCGAAAATGGGAACTCTGTATTGTTTTCTTTTGAAGTACCGTTTTGTTCTACGTCACAGTTGGTAATCACTTATAATGGTAAACCCTGAGTTATGTTAAAAGAGACAAGGGAAATCTGGAAAATAATGAATATCAGTTTCTTTTCTCAAAAGGCCTACTATTTCATTCTTGCTCAGTAAACTTGAGATGCTTCCATGAAAATTTCTTTAGTAGTTTCGGTAAATTACGAGAAACAGTTTTTCCTTTCTGAGAGGACACCTCCGAAAGATAACACAAAGAAATTCTCAGGTATACGGTTTTTCTTGCTGCCTTCTTTTCAAGAAAAATGTCCTTTAAGTTATCCATTTCCTTGTCGTGTGAGGTTCCCGACGTAACTTCAGTCAGGATTAATAATGAATGCACTTTCAGCTTTTCTTGCAATGAGTAAGTGCCGTATAGCTTTCAATTGGACAACCCGGAAAACTTCGTGTCTTTTTTCCAAGCGTGCCATGAAGAGCCTGCGCCACATACAATTCCTGTCTGTTTTTCTTGCTGCCACTGAGGACATGTACCGGTAATAATTAGTTCATCTATGCGGAAACATTTTGAAACTCTTTTACTTACTTAGGGCCACATTATGAAAACGTACATTGATCCAACCTCACTTTAAGTTTTGCCCAAATTTATAAATAAAATCCAGAGAAAACCGGTGCGTGCTTAGGGACATTTCAATAATTAATGCATCATTCATTCTCTTTCACAGAGAAAGTGCGGAATTAGGGTGAAAAGAGAACAAAAAAAGTTGCTCAGTTCGATGAGACGCCTTGCAGTATCACGATATTTTAACAAAAGTGTCTCACTGACAAGGGCGGATGTAGAACCAGTTCGGGGAGAAGCATATTTATTAATCTCTTTACGTACCCTTTTGTGGCCTTGCGGAAAAGAAGGGCTAAAATGTAAGGGCATTTCAGGCGCCTTCGGGAGGAACAGGCAATACTCTCTCGTATAAACAGAGGTCAGTGAGTGATATTACTGAAGGATCGTACCTTCGATTCAGCTTGCAGAGTTCGGACATTTTTCAGTTCCGTAGAAGAGTGGAAGCTGTAGATATACTCTGTGTCCGGCTTAAACCGGATGAAACTGGCCAGGACGGGACTTATCAAGCTGATGCTAATGAGGAGGACCAGGGCGAGCCTAAGCACCGAGATGTAGCACCAAGGACTGACCCTCCGTGCCGGTAAGGTCATCTTGGAAGAATCCCCTGTTCCAGTCTCAGTAAAATCTGACCTCGAACACTTCAAAGCTCTGAAAAAATATTGAACAAACAAACCAAGTTCAAAACATTGTTACATGGAGGAAGTCGGGGGTAGGTCGATTTCAGAATCACATCAGGGTAGTTTGAATAATATCCTTCAATTGTCTAGATCCCAACCCTGAAAATGAAAGAGAATTGGCCTACATCTTGTGACGCTCCATTAAATAAAACAAACATAATAGGTTGTTTATTCCATGTCCAACATAGACACCAAAGCGAAACCCACTCCAATAAACTTGCTCCGTACTTTTCCCTATTAAATAGTGAAAAAATGGTTTGGAGAAACATACCACTTTGTAACGCATGCAACGCACCAATGGTGGCATTACATTTTTTGAATCCAAGGAGCGGTTACTCTGTCCTTTTCCACTATGTTTTTACAAAAGACAAAAACTCCATGAACTGAAACATACATCAGCGATTAAATGTAATGCTTCCTGAATTAATTCCACGGCAAAATGTCCCAAATTAAAATCTGCATTTCAAATATTAATAGGTCTCTGTCACTGACTTTGAACACGTCACTTCTTGCCATCGCACTCGTGATCTTGGCTTTTTCATAAGAGAAAAAGGAGATCGTGAAATCGGGGAAACTCCTTCTGCTGATAGTATTTCTAACCAGAAATCAGGAATCATATTTTACCCATTGTAGGAGATGGTGTAATTCCCGTGTGGCGAGGGGGCAACTAGTGGGTGTGATAATCTCAGAATACAACCTCGCTTGGATTTTGTTTTGAAACGCGTGAGAACAATACCTTCATCGACGATTTCTGACCAGTGGCGTTTCGGCAGGGGGCGGGGGAACTTGCCTCAAGAATACTTCATAGGTGAGAAAGTAAGAGTCTCATTTATTTATCAAATATAAGAACCAAAACCGCAAGAAACAACACCAGCAATTAAAAGCAATGATGTCGGGGCCATGAGTAAGGTTTTTAATACTTTTTTCCCCCAACACCATGCATGTAGAATGAGATACATGCCGCATTTGCTTTTGAATATGCCCAGCTATTCCTGACCTTGATTATTCACAAATTTTACACTCATATGCTACTAAAAGAGCATCGTCTTCGGGAACTACAATACCATAAAAATGGTTGGGGACTGCGGATTAGTAGGATTTGTGATTTTCTTCGTTACCACCCCAATAACTGTGCAAAGTGGTGGTGCCAGCAAACGTTTCTTTCTCCAAAGGGTGACCTTTTCGGCCGAAAGGGACAACCTACGGCCTGTTTAAGTAATAGATTCGTCCGCAGAGATCTAGTGCACAGCGGGCGTATAATGAACGCGGAAAAATGGCAGAAACAGCTGGTTGTAGTCAAAAGATTCTACCCTGAACGACGATGTCACTCCTGCAGTGATTAGGCCAATGTATGTGTGTTACATTGACGACCAGAAATACTGAGGTTGAAACAAGAGGAATTAAATGAAACTGGTTCATGTTACTTTTGCAAGAATGCCAGCGCACGCCTGTGCTTAAAATCAAAGCTAAGGAGTACATAACCTCCGCAGGTGGACTTCCTTTCAGTAAGTACTGGGTCAATTTTAAGGAAAGGTTTCTTTTCAAGTACTTTAAAATCCCAGTTGCTGCTTATTACTGTCGAAAATTTCCATTTATTTGCAGACACAAGAGACACAGGTTTAGACAGGTCGACCTAATATCACTCAGAAATATGTATTGAATCCGGATTACTGTCATGATGAGAGCTTTTGATGAAATGAATAGTTGCAATTATATAACCACTTTTTACAGACTGGAGTTATTGTCAAGACTTTAGGCCCTATGTGAAAATAAACAAGTAAATTCGTTATATTGTGGTGCAATTCATTATTGGTGATGCATCCGAATATCTTGGTCAGAGACTCTGCTGGATAGTGATAGACCAACTTCCCGGGTTATCACAAGCGGATACAGATGTCTCTCATAAAGCAACTCCAAATTAATTTTTATTTTCTCCCAAACGAAATTGCAAATGTTGTTGTTTGGGGTAGAAAATTAAAACTTATATTGTTTTCTACGTCTGCTCAAAATGACATTCAAACCTGTTGCTGTGTTGTTGAGATATTTTCAATTACGTAACACGTCATTTTTTGTTCTGTGTAGTGGAAGTTTACACAGTTCACCTGTGCAGTTGCTGATTTCAAATTCTCAATACTCAAACAACAGTTTGAGTTCCTTACTCCTCTAGAAATTGTTTGCAGCCTTTTCACTTGATGAAAGTCATGGTTAAGTTCAATAGGACCGACCGAAACAGGGAAAAATAGAAAAAAAAAGATGTTTTACGTTCATCAGATGATCTCTGCGGCGCATTGTCGGATTTCAATGAAATCTTCAGGTTTTAACAGATTTCATTAATTGTAAGCTAAACCTTGGCTTGGTACTATACTATAGGGTTATGTTCAAGAGACACCCTCTGATCAGTCAATACCTTCTTGTGAACTTTTTAAAGATTGGTTTTAAATACCCAAATTCCAATCTTAATATGATGTCTTCCATCAACGCATCATTGTTTTTCTGAAATTTATGGTGGGTTCAAATGCCGAGTTCCCCTAATGATCAGCCTTGTGCAGGAAGGGATACCCTTAAATGATTAATGTGAACGATCCGTTCAGCATATACTTCAAACAAACTGAAATGACTAAAGTGTCTGTTTATCATGAATTCAGAATGCTGGGCTCACAAGCGGCGACCTGATGTAGCAGTGCTCACACACCTAACGAAAAACAGGGTACTCGTCGGTTACGTCCTTCCCCCTTTTAAAATGATCTTCGTCCTTTTTTACCCTTGTTCCGGGAAAATTTGATTATCTTGGTTCAGGTTAAATAATTAAAGTGTGCAGTCAGAATTTTGTTGTGATTTTAACAGTGGCATAAACGTTGAGGTCATATAACATTTTGTATCCTCGGTGTTGCAGAAATCCAACAACTGAAAGATTGTGGGCTATGTAGGTGTTCCCGATCAGTCGAAAAGGATGAAGTATTTTACTCTAACCCCTAAAATACCTTACTCTATTAATTGTGCTAGAAAAGCCCTTCTTTGGAACGAGGGAATTTCCATAACCCCTTTACACCAAATGTCAGTGCTGTAGTGCAGCTGGAGGTTGGGGCAAAGTCCCCCCCTACAAACACCCCATACAATGTTTCTGTTTTCAGACCAGGCACCATTATTTGTGCTTGGGCGGATGCGGTATTCTAGAAGGAAATGGAAATTCCCCTTTCATTCCTGGCTCAATGACTGCCGAGATCAGTTTGTAGTGTGTGCAAGGAACCCTAGCAACAGTACCTGCATGTGAATTGTAATGTCACACGCAACCCTCGTTCCTGGAAATTTTAATGAAAAGGGTCTATAGAATACAAACGACCAACTGGAGTTCTGGTTTTCCTTGCCAAAAATTGTCAAAGAAGGTAAGTAATAAAACAAACAAGCACAATCTGCGGCAAAATTCATCCTGTCAAATTCATCAATGCATGAAATAAAACATTTAAGTTCGTCAGATCAACCTTTAAGGAGTGGATGTTCATGGTTTTCAAAGAGGGGGTATTTTGCAATGTGAATAAGGCCAGGCAATCAACTTCTCTCCATAGGTGTCAAAGGTATACAAGATATGCGCTCAACCCCCCCCCCCGGAAAAATTAAAAGTAAAATGGGAAAATAAGGGGAAAGCGAGAAAAACAACCGAGAAAGTACAAACGGATTAAACGTACTTTAAACACCTTCAAGATGGATCCTTGCACTCTCAGTCGTTTTTTTTTCCAACTAATGATTCATTCCCACCCCCCTTTGAAATACCACCCTTCAAGAAAAATTTATAATCTGCCCCGCGGCGATCCTTGCTTTCTCCCGGTAGCTTTCTCGCCAATTCGACTGTGGCAAATGTCCCATTCCGACTTCTAAATAAAAGTTAGCGCAGTGATTTACTTTCAGGGGCCAAAGTGGGCTGTTTCGATTACCGCATTTAAGAAAAAGCAAATCTAAAAAGTGCAGTGTTTTCATTTTTTGTTGATTTACCGTGATTTCCAATAATTTCGTTAGGTCCCGCCACGTTTGTTTGACCTGTGCGCCGACATCATTGTTCTCCAATCTAATATGCGTACTGCGCACCTAGAGGACACCGTTGGGGTGCACAATAAGTTCTATCACTGTAATCTTCATCATAAGATAAAAAACAGGCTTGACTATAATCATACAAAACATTTTAAAAGCCTTCAAAAGCCATCTATGCAGTTTGAATATTTGCCTCATGCGGTACTTTATTTTGTTTAATATGGAAAGGGAGAAGATCCTGTTTCGCAAAAATACCGACTAGCACAATTTAGTTTCTTTGTCCATGATATTTGCAATAAAAGGTTGTCCCTGTAGTTGGGGCCCATCACTGCCCAAGAAGAAAACCTACTGCAAACTATGGTAATATAGTACGGGGATATATAAATTGTACGGTCTCCGTTTCAAACAGAGGGTGTGCTAATGTTGGAATGCCGTTGTTATTACACAGGAATTCCAATGTAAGCAGTGAGGCATTGACGAAAATTATGGCGACATGGATGCAGGATGTTGAAAGAAATTAATGTAAAATTTCTCATTTCTGCCTCTTCATAAAGATGAAAAAGCAAAAGTTACAATATACTAACACTAGGCTGTGAAGTAGGCCTACATATCGTTTGCGAAACTATAGGGCACGGTTCAATAACCATGAAACACATGTTTGTTGCAATTGAGACAGTATACATTTCTAAATGTGAAAATTGAACACTGACAACAAACACAAGATCTTACTTTTTCTGTGCATACAAAAGTTTAAATCGTTACATTGCTTTCATTCTCGTATTACTTTCTTTTTATTCGAAAAGGCCTTAGCAGTCCGTTAAAATGCAATTACGAATGTGCAAGCGGCAGTCAGTCTTGGACATTTTGGCCTTTTTATCTGTTCATATACATGCAGGGTTTGAGACGGAGCGCCGCACTTTGAAAAAGAGTTTAGCTGTATCAAACAAGATTCTGTTGTCACACTGAAAAATGAATACAAGAGAACGTATTATTTCCAAACGTCAATACTCAATCAGTAAATATACCCATAAACACTCTAAACGTGTTTAGGACCATTTAAACAGATTGTCAGAGTGCATGTCATTATAAAAAGTGTTTACATAAAACATTCCATTGTTGAACGTAATTATGGTTTAGTCATAGGGGAGGAAGATGCTACAATTCTGAAATTTGCTTAACACAGCTCGGAATTCACCCCTTTCCTGTATTAGCTATGGGGGGGGGTGATTTTCTCAAAACAGGGTGGGGGGTGGATTCAGCATCCTTCAGACTTTGCTGTCCAAAATTTAAAAATCTGATCAAGCATGTAAACATACTTAATCCAATTTATTTTGAGCAGTCAACAGGAAAATAAACAATTCTGGTTGACCTATCTCGGAAAAAATAGCGCTGCGCAAGAGAATACACGCGAATTTCACAAAATTAGTGTCAAAATGAACGCAAGATATTACAAAACATGTTCCGCGCATGGAAAAATTGAACTAAGACAATATCAAAAAAAAAAATCCGAGAAGGCAAAGGTGTTCTGGTCCTTTAGGGTTACATGACATTGGCTGGGCAGTTTGATGCTCTTCCCCCCACGGAAAAAAAGTATTTTCTCCCAGGCATAATCCTGGTGATGGCCATGGCTGTAGGGTTCAAGGACGTAGACTGGGGATTACATCCCGCCCCACTTTTTGACCGGGATGGGCTGCCTCTTTGGTTCGAACCCCCATACCCCCAACCAAAGGGAGAAGGTAGAACAGAGATCGATGTGTGGCTAATAATTGTAATAAAAACAAACATAAAATCCCTTGCAAATTCCTCGTTGTGTCTCTGCCATCGTAATTATCATCACCAGGGAACAGTAACACACCTCATTATGTTTAAAACTATTCTACTAAATATTGCTGCCCAAAGGAGTTCATCCTGAAAGGAAAGAATTATATATTAACTTACCATCTAGGTTGGCAAATGGACAGAACCTATCTCCGGAAAGTTCGCCTAGGCTGTCACTACTCTAAAATGCCAAAGTCAGGCTGAACCATGCATTGGAGACACTTCTGTTAGGAACCACGCACGCGCATATATACGTCGACAATGGCTTCTACCAAAGCGCCTTTTGTTATACTAGGACTTTCCGTAGTACGCGCAATTTAATACTGTTCAGGCTAAATAGTGCATGTTAACTTTTGGTCCTGGCTGTACCGAACATGCATCGGCATCAAGTACGATGTGAGTCGGAACAGGACAATCTACGATTACAAGGCTTTAAGTGGATTTGTATAAAAACTGTCGTGTCAATTAAGAAAAAGTGGCCTCTAATATAACAAACATTTTCTCAGGAGTATGGAGACTACCATTTTCTGACTTCAACGGCTAACAATAAACGTTACCAATCAGGGACAACTTTAGTTTTGTACGACAAGACGTATTACGGAATGAAATTCATGCACAACAAATAAATGGTAGGAAAATAATACATTCATAAGTCTTTTGCCCATCAAGCCGGGTTGTAAGTATTGCTTTACTAGTCTTTTCAGGAGTCCTCCTTTACACACCTTCTGTAGAGTACTGACCCTGTTTTCATTCTATGAAAGTCGTTTTGATCGCACAGTTGCCATGTTCCCAGGAAGTGTCCTTTATCTTCCATTTTTATTCCCGGTATTTTGGTATTTTTTGATTGCTAATGACCTAGAAATGAGCGTCCATTACAAGCAAGAATACTTTTCTGTTTGGATACACTATTAAAACTGTTCAGACTCCTATTACAGTAATCATGAGTTTTTTCATGTTTACATTTTCAACAATCTGTTGTTCCCTGTCTACTCCATTCATCTGTTCACTCTAAGAATTCCCTTAATCAAAATAATCCGATTATTTGACAGTTTTTGCAGTTTCTCAGAAGTACAGAAATGAAAGTGGGCCATTCCTTTCAAAGACATGTCGACGCTGATATTTTCCTTTTATGGGTCCAGACCAGTAAATACGTTGCCCTAAACAACAGTAATAAATATCCCCAATACAAAAAATCAGGAAAAATACGTTTCACAGGTGTTCAAGACAGGTGTTCAAGACAAATATCAAATTAAAGCTCACTTCCTCATCTTTCATTTTCCTTTCAATTTTCAGTGGCTTAACCGATGACTATTGAAGATATCTCTCTCCAGAGAAAATCACTCCTTCAAAACAGTCAGGAGGCCCATTGCCATTTTGGAAATTGATGCCTACACTCCATGGCAAAATAGAGCAATCGTAGCGCCCTATTTGGTCCGATACTTTCAGAAATACAAGCTGACAGTCCTGCCCCTGCATTTCATCCATTTCTTTAAAAAACAAAACACCCAGTCCACGTGCCACAAAAAGGTTCTAATAGCAGAGAATTTGACAGCCTACAAATCACGATTTGGTCGGCGCAGGCAATTTTGACCTATTTACTGGCGTTCAACCTTATGAGGGAACAGTCCGTGGACACTCATGCCCGCAGCGCTAAACGACTTCATGTGTGCAGTACTAGACAGGAAGCAGGAGAGCTACAGATTGACATTCATAAATAACTTAGGCAGTTTACCCATTCCAATGGGTGGAGAGCGAGTTACGTGAATTGTTTAAAAAACTTCCTCGGTTCGTATGAAATGCTGACAATGGACTGATACCTTCAAACATAACAACCAACATTGGCACATGATCATGCAAAATACAATGACCTATGAATTTTCCTTCCTCCATGATCAAACACCGTGTTACCGGATTTCTTTTGTGTAATTTACTACTGTGCGTGTGACGTACATACCACAGAAATGGCTACAGTTGCGTTTCATAATATACGGCCTAAGCTGAAGAACGAAATCGTAGGCAAAAATGTTTTAAACACATTTTCACTTTCACAGAAAAGTGTTATCTGTTTGTTTTAATCTGGTACGTTTAAAGCGGGATACTATCCTGTCCACACCGCTCCTTTCTCTGCGTATTATCATCCTAAGGATATTATATTTGGTTCTTTATTTCGTATTTTACTTATAATTTGAACGGGACCTCAATCTGCAGGGGCTACATAATGTTTCAGCTTGTGGCTTACAGGAGTAGGTTTAGTCGCCAGATCTTAATTTGCAGGTTTTCCCAGGATACAAGTAAACCCGAGTCTATACCTCTGACCCTAAAACCCAATAACAATGTTTCTGCTTAGGGACTTCATCCTTGTACTCTGAAGGACAGTAAAAAATGACGTAATTCTTCTTGATGACTTTACTGTCACTCTGGCCTTGATAATGCAGGAAAAAGCGCTTTGATTTAATATAGGCAATTAATTATCGTGTTTACGATATTTTGGCCTGTCAGAACCGACATCACTTTATTTGTTGAAAGGATCTTTGAAACTCATGTAACGACATGATATTCCTGACAGCCAGGTGGACACTGCTATACAGCCAAAGTTTTAACAATGCTGTTTAGTTTTTGGTGATATAAAATGTTAAATTGCCTGTCCATTTCATAATGCGAATACAAGTTTAAGAACTTTTTTTTAAACCTAAGGCAGCGAATAGCACTCGAGACGAAGTCGAATTTGCCATTTACTCCCGAGGACTCTGTCAGAGCAGGCAACAAGTGTGTGTCATATCATGGTCATAGATTACACCAGAACAGTCTTATGCGTAATTATTATAAGATGAATTAAAACACTTTGGCAGATTGAAAAACTTGAACAGCAGATTAGATATTAAATTGCAGGGAAAATAGCCTATGGGGGGGACCTAGGACTTATACAAAAATTGGTGCGGACCACCGCGGCTATCCATCCTAGTACCCAAGATTAAACAATTACAACGCAGTAGACATGGCGCATCAACTACAGGAAAGATCACCGTTATCATAATTTTGGGGGCCCGACATGCAATATAGCTAGTGCAATCAACACGTGAAATATAATTATATGCGCGCCTGGAGCATATCACGTGATCAATTCGCTACCAATCAATACACTCTCTATGACAGCGGTACAACAATAAATGTTTTCAATTGATTTATGGAGAAAATATAGGTGGTAATTCAACAGTTAAGTGTTGATTTTTAGAGAGATTCAGGTGCCTTTTGACTCACAATTTTTGAGTTATATAATACTGTTTTGGAGCAATATTTACTTTTACATTTTAAAATACTTTAGACGTATTTTATTAATAATTCGAAATTATAGTAAATTTTTCTCAGAGGACTATATCTCATGTTGTCACGTGTTTCTGACTTTGTGTGAAGTTATTCGATTGAAACGGACGTTATATAGAGCTACAAACCCTGGAAGCCCGTATGAAATTTCACCTCGTAGACTTTTGATTGTTTGATTGATAATATCATTGACTTTTGAACTGGCCTTTATAGCGGCTAATCCAGCCTTGTTGACCCCTAGACCATTTCGTTGGTGAATATTGATCTGCGTAGCGTCAGTATCAAACGCTTTAAGAATTCAGAATGACAATGATTG